CAAATAGACCATAGATTGCTGGACATTTTGAATGAATATGTGAGAGAGAGGTCTCCCTTCCCAAGAGCCCTTGTGGTTGTCTGCATCCCCTACTACGGGGTTTATGTTTGTTCTTATCAACCCCAAATGAAACCCATGTCCAGTAAATAGTGATAGATTCCCTTTAAACCAACAGTGGAAAATAACAGCAGAGTCTTAAGCAAATGCAAACAAAGCAAGCCTTGACCAAGGCAATGTGTCTTCACCAAAGAATCTGACTGACACTTCCCACGCGCCCTCGTCAGAGCCGAAGCCTTGCATCCCACCCCCAGTGGGAGTCGAGCTCCACTTCCCTACTCAAAGGGAACATGTTTGGTTTTTTGGTTTGGAAGGATCCCTTTACCCTGGGGCCAATCATTTTCTGTGTGTATTTTCAATGTGGGGATAGTTCTGTCCGGCCAATGAACCCCCAATCGGGGCGCAGGGCGCCTGCGCGGGCGGGCGGTACGTCTCGCACGGCCCAAGCTTGTAGTCAAACCATGGTCTCGAGGCTGCGAACCACTTTTTTTGAAACCTCGGCGCCCCCTATTTGGCCAAAGGGACGTCTCAACCCCCCTTGTTTGGCTTCCTTTTACGTTTTCCCTAAGCTCCAAAAACGTAACACGTGCCAACACAAATCGACTTGGGCTTCCCTTTGGCTTCACCTCAAACAGGGTACCCTCAAAGACATACCCACACAGCTCCTATGGCTCAGGAATTGCCCCAACAATAGTTGGCGGACATGAATCCCCATGTAAATCCAAGGATTCCTGTCACAGGTTCATGGCGGATTCACAAGGTCTTGTTTTCCCACCTAGGATTCCCAGCAAATTATCACCTGTTGATTCTCATAGGCGGGAAGGGATCCACATCCAGTTCACAAGGTCTTGGAACATTCTACGAGGTACCAGGCAGATAGATGTCTCAGTTGTTCAGTGACCCTGGAAAAAAAGGGAACCTTGTTTTGGAAAGACCATTTTAGTGGGGAAGCCACCAAAAAAAATGAAAAAGGGAGCCACTGAACAACTGAGATGTCTCAAACATGCGATAGGTTCAAAACTCCAACTCATTGCAGTTGTCGAGCGGGAACAAATCGTCCACGCGACAGTGTCGTTTGGGAGCCCTACGAATGTTGACCCCTGAGCAATGAACCTGGTTTTGGATGAACGCAGCAAGCAGTTTCAGCCGCAGACTAAAGCACCCTGCCGCGCTGAAAACAACACTATGTTCGTTGATTACCCGCATCTTGAGACCTCGACAGGTTTCAGACCTAGACCCCTCCCATGGGTCGAGCAATGCCAAAACAGGTGGCTGTGTCTCAAAATCCAAATTGGTGGTGTCCTGTCTTTAAAACCACCCCCCTGAAAGAGACACTCACATGTTCAGCTTCTTCCTTTGGCACTTCAGTGCTGGTGGACCGCCGGCACGCGAGGCGGGACTCGGGCAAAAGCAATGGGATTATGTCCCTAGCCCGGAGCACCCGCGCAGGGAAGCAATAGCAGTCATACGGCACATGCCAAGAAGCTGGCCTATCAGAACATCTGGGGGCCAAACCACGTGTTTTTCTGGGCAGGTACCCCTGGCATCCGACTGGAAAAGATGGCTATATACCATGTATGTACCCATAGTGTATTTTGGCCTCTGTGGTATTCTGCAGGGGCACCCACCCAGGGGTACATAGTTGGGACCTTGGACATTATGAAATGATCATGTGTGATTTCTTCCAGGACGTTATCTTTAGCTGATGGGCCGTTTTGTTTGATTTGAGATCAAATATGGGTTCTCGCAAGTTGGCTCGTCTTGTTGTTAGATTAGTCTGAGTGCGAAATAGCCCATCAGCTGAATTCTCCAATTCCCTAAGAAGCAACTCAAGATGGGGATGGGTCTGTTTAAACATCTTGAAACAGCCTGATTTACCCAGACCTCTTGTGTCCTTGAACAGTTGTTTCAAAAAGAGAACCTCCTTCAACAAAATGCATGAAACAGACATGCCTGAGTGAAGGTGTTGGTTTGTACTCTAACCCCATCCTCTGGTTCTTGAAACCATTGCAAACAACGCTGTTCAAACACAGATCGGCAAGAACTGCTTAGAGCACCCTCAGCTTGCAATCAAATGCCTCAGCTCTGTGGCCCCAAATAGAAACCGCTTTATCCGCTCCTGGTTCATATATCTGTGAACCTTGAGACCTCGAAATGCTAAAAATCAGTACCAACATTTTGATCCCGGCTCAGTTTACCTTTTGAAAGTTCACGGCCTCGTTGATTCACTTGCATCCCACATTGCCAAACTCCAGTTGAGTCAGAATCAAACCCTGGTACCCAAAAGGTCTACCCAAATCCGTTTCATACATCAAAGAAATCCGAACCTGAACTGTCCTCCACCAGTCATCCACCGAGTTTTCTCTTGTGAGTGCTTTCTCCTTGCTCAGGTTACTCTGGGCATCGGCGTTCGTTCACCAGCCGGCCCTGAAGATGGAGAACTTCGCTCTCTGCCCTCGCAAGAGCCCAGTCTTGTTCGCGCTGATTTCGTTTTAGACCCCCTGGCACGTTAACTTGCTGGTGGAAAGGGACAATGCATGACACGCGCCGACACGCAAAAGGGCACTCAGGGCAAAACAGGTTAGTCTGGCAAAGTTCCCTTTAAAGCATTTCCCCCTCATGGTCTATGCGCAGCAAACCTTAGAGTCTGAAGCTCTTTTCCTGCGTGGATTGTTCAACACAAAGTGCCCTGGTTCACGATCAAGGGCGCCTTTTTGGGCTTGTCTCGAAATAGGGATATGTTTTGTGGAGAAAGTCATTCGACAGATATCCCATAATATGGGCGCGGGCATCTTCAGATCCAGCTGCAACGCCAGCGACGGTGCAAGAAAAGAATAGGCAGGGGATGGAGCACACGCTGCATGTTTTGCGAAGCCAAAAGAACGTGTTGTTGGTTGCCAAAGCAAGAAGCTATCAAATTTTGTTTTTAAGGACCGGTGCTCAGTGTGAAGAGCCTGAATGTGAACAGAAGCCTTCATCTCGTTGTATTTCTTCGCACATTGAAGGTTGGCCGTGCTTGTTGCTCAATGGGGAGTCCTGAACCCATACACGTCTTCCAGGTAAGGGCGCACATGCTGGCGGGATAAAAGCTTTGAGCCCAACAGGAAGAACCCATAAACAAGCAACGCCAGTACAGGCCTGGATGATACACTAGTTCTCGAGGTACCTTCCCCATTCTTTCCAGGCATCCTTCTTTCTAAAACATCATCCAAAACCCTGAGAAACAGATGCCTTTTGAAAAGAGCGATGGTTGAAAATAATGGGGAATCAACCCCTAGAATAGTTGATCTTTCCCCTCCCAAACAATTCCCCATCATGGTAACCGAAGGCTTTGTTGAGCTTTATTGACCCCTGGTTGGTTGGGAACTCAAGGTTTGAAACTTGATTGATCCCTGGTTGATATACTTGATACACTAAGTCAACCCGATTGCATGGTCAACATCAAAACCCAGCGATCGAGCCATTCCTGCGGCGTGGCTATCCCCTCCTGACTGGGATTGCTCTCAGGCGCCTACCATGGACAGAGCCGGGCTGGGAAACAAAATGAAAAAGAGGGGACAGCCTGGACCCCCAAAGGACCTTTTTGCTGCTATGGGAAGGCAAACAACATGTTTTATGCCTTTGTACCACTTTTCTATGGGAATGCCAACAAAACCAGGGGTCCATTGCGGGTCCTGGAGGTTTTTGGCTTGACCCAGCTGAAGCTTTGGGGTCTCTGCGTGGCTTGAAGCCTGGGCTTTCACAGGCTTAGGGGCTGGGGATACCGGCGCTCTTCCCGTCCGAAGAACCCAACAGCACTGCAAATCATTTTGCTGATCTTTGATTCGCTCGTCAGACTCCCAACCTGGTCAAACGGTCTATCCAACACCTGAAAGGATGTTAGGTGATCTTTGATTCGTCGAGTCATGCGTCAAACCTGATAAAGCAGTCTATCCAGCACCAAGACGAAGGACATCCGCCTGTTTCGGTCGGAAAGCTTCAATGGGAAAAGATCTATGGCCGAGTAAAAACCTCCCCCCCCCAGCCCCCCCGCTGGTTCGAGCATTATTAAGGCGGTCGGCTGCCCTAAACGTCAACAAGGACATGTGATTTCTTGACGATATTCAGTCAGACGAGCTTGCATCTGGACTGAAGCGAGAAAGTCACAACGGCTACCACTGCTTTTCTCCTGCCAACTCTGACTTTTGGTTGCGTCAACTGGAAAGAAGTGCAAAACTGAGAAGCGCCCAACAGCCTCAGGCAAAGAGCAGTCAACAGAACCCTCCCCTGAGATCCCAACTCTCTGCTTCACGGCACAAACACCAGTACACCTGTGCCCGACCATCACAAATCACTGCAAAGAAATCGAGCAGAGGGCCAGAAAAAAAATACACTGTTTAAAGGGAACATCGCCAAAAGAAGAGAACTGGTGCAACTCGGCAATTGAGCAGCGCCCAACACCCATTGACTATTGGTTCTAATTACCAACACGGTTGCATGGCGTTATGTAGGCTGTCCTCTAGACCCAGTAAAACTACCTAGCAGAACCTTATCAAATGGCCAATGCAAATGAACTAATACACCAATGCACCCTTTTGGGCCACTTCGGATTCACATTCATTCTCATTTCACTTGTTTGAGCCAGCGTTAAAATTGCTTGCTTCTTGGAAGAAGTAATAAGAAAATCAATGAGTCCAATGTTTATGCGAAATGTTGTGGTTCTGCCCATACCATATCATAAACAATACCATTCGTCCTGCCTCTCACACCTAAGTGGCCAAAGCCCCACCGGCCGGAAAGGGGGTTCAAGGCTCTACTTATGCATGCGCTGAAAAAAGGACACCTATGGCCAAGAATGCAAGGCAAACACAATTCCATGGGTTAGGTCGGACAAAGCCTCACGCGCCGTGCCCATTTCCCCATACTTCCCCCCATCTGTCCCCCTCCGGCGCCTGCAACCCGCCTCACTGGCAGGCACCTGAGATGCTCGGATTGCTTTTTAAGGTCCAACTCATTGGAAAGGGATTCAAATCCTCATGGCGGCTGGGGGGAGGGAGGGGAGGGGGAGGGAGCTTAAATTAGACCTTATTGAGCCCTCAATACAGGGCCTTTCTGGGCTCCCCCCTCCCCTTCCTCGCCCCCAGCCCCCATGAAATCCAGATGATACAATTCCCTCCCGCCCAGAAACACGGGAAGACCATGTTCCTTTACAACGGACCCTTTGGCGGGTTCCAGGTGAGTAACAGGAGGGTAAGAATAATGATGTAATTAACTTGCCGACTATACTATTAAACACAGACCAGAATTCTGAAGCTGCTTCATAGGAAGCCTGACCTTGTTCTTGAACCTAGGCAACAAAGTTGGTTGACCTGGTAAACTCAAGCACACCAAAACATGTCTTGGGGTCCATAACCGCGGAGGATTTGCAAAGGCTCACCTGAGGACCTGGGCTCTGCACAGACCACACAGACCATGTCTCGGGGAAACCAAAGGGCATCTTCAAAGTCGGCAGGACAACTAGACCAAGCATTTCTGGGATCTGGACAAAACGTTGACATGTTAGGGGAAAAAAGTGTTTGATCCATAGACTTCAACAGACCAAACAGGGAAAATATTTCCGAAGCTCACTTCGATCGGTCGATCTGCATTCGACGAAACCTCAAAGTCTCCGGGGCAGGCGCCGATGCTCTGCGCCAAGAAGGAGGTGACTCCTCCGCATGCACCCGTTCGCCGCTGCGGCTCGGCTCGGCCGGCCGTTGGAAGTGACCCAAATTGCCCAGTTGCCCAGTTTACCGAAAGGTAGACATAGGGGGAAGCCTTGTTGGAATTGACCATTTCAGAACCCACTAATCAACAACGAGAACAACATGCCACGGTTGCTTCCAAAAAATGCACGGCCATTTGACTGTCAAAATTCATGTAGGGCTTCTCATAATGACTAATACACCTGCCTGGCCCTACCTGAAGCTTCATTCTGGGTGTACTATGTCCATTTAGGCTATACAGTATCCCTACAATTGCTAAGGAATCGGTGTTGTGTACTAAATTTAAAAAAACGGACAGCTGGACAGCAGTTGAAGGTAAACCAGAGAAGAAGACAAGCTCTACAATTGCCAACTTGCCAGATACCATTCATTGGGAAGTGGAGAATACTCACCGAAATAGAATGTCGGTTGGTGACACCACGAATAACTAACCGAAGACTTGAGAAGTACGAGAACCCACTGCAAACTCATTGCCGATAGGTAGGGAATGACCCATGGTGTTGGGAAGGAACCTTAGAGGAAACCATAGGGTATGGTTTTTATTGGGGTCATTTACCTCCTTCCCTGCCTATCGAATCAGCAAGCTTACTCGACATAGTTTGTTTTTTTTGAATTTTCACTCGGCAACCAGAACCCTCGCGCCCTCCGTGATCGACCTTTTTGAGTGTTTAAGGGAAAAGCCATTTGATTCCAACCGGTCCGAGGGCCGATTTGGTTATCAACGAATCCAACGATTTGCTCACACCAAACACCAGCCATGAATGCCAACAAATAAATGGACAATTCCGACATGGCAGGGAAGGGGCTCATTATAAACATCACTCCACCCACAGGAAACTCACTTTGAAAGGGCCAAAAGGAAAAATTAGGGAACTTCAGAAACCCTCCTCACTTTCTGAGTGGATTGGCCAAAAGTCGTTCAACCTTGTTGGTCCCCACCAAAATAACCTTCCCAAAAAAATGCGAAAGCTTTCAGCTCGGGGAGCGAGCCTCAGACAGGGCCGCCTTCGGAACCGGACTCAACCGGCAGATGGGATGCGAAGCGGCTCCTAAAGCTGCCCCCGCGCTCAAGGAGTAGAAGATGAAATTGGACAAGCCTCGAGGTATCTCTCGGCCCCAACTTTCAGCGGGATCCCATTTTGTCACCTGGGAGGTTTACGGAGTCGCCCAACCAGTGCTCCCTTCCCCCTACGAGTGTGCCATGGGGTGAGGGATGTGGGAAATCTGTGCCACGGATTCTTGTGGTTTATGTTTGGTTTGCTGAGGGTACCATGTGGCGCATGGTTTAAGAGGAAATCGATTGGGAAACCACCCCTCCTCGGAGTTCCGTTCTTTTGACACATAACCAAGTCACGTTGTCTTCTTGATGGTTGCCTGCGCTCCCCTGCAGAATAACATGGAACCCAAGAAGAAACATCATTGGTACAGGAATAGGTGTCAAAACAGGTTGGCCCTCCTCCAATGGTGAACACCTTGTCCAAAAGGGTTGTTCCCCTTTGGCGTCCCTTTAAGCCAACCCAATAACGAGTGCCCTCACAACACATACACACACACACACATCCACCCGATGTTCTCCTGGGTTGGTTTCTGCTAGTTACCAAGGGTGTGCTGCTATTCAATGAAAGGCTATGTCAGGCTATGTCTAGTGTTGACCCCATCCGAAGCAAGAACACGTTAAATCTCAACCAAGGCCCATAATGTGGATTATGATATTCTCTTGGGTTACCTATAAAAACAATTTCAAACAAATACGCCTATTTTGGCAGGCGTGGGACCCTGCTGATTTGACTAACAAATTGCGCTCAAGAGCCCGTTGCCAGCACATCAGAAACCAGGACCGGAAAAACCTGGGCTGACGTCCCAAAATCGACCCCGCCACTTCCATCCCAAAACGGCTAGGACGCCCTCAAACAACGGGAGGGGAACAAGAAAATTGGCTTGATGTCCCTTGTGTTTCCCTTCAAGCGACCATATTGAATATGTGTCGAAATAAGGGGGGCCCATCCAACAAATGGTAGTTTTCCTGCATGGTTCCCTTGAAACAAACCTTTAAAAAAAAAACGCATCCGCAAACACACATGCACACACACACACACTCACACACACACAGCCCCATCTTTCAGCGACCCAGGAGAAGAAGCTCCGAGCCCCCGACGCCGAGGGTGCATATCCTCGGGATATCGAGTTCGCCCCAAGATGTCTAGAGTCTGGCAACCGCAACGTTGACCCCGGATCAAACCGCTTTGATTTTATGGGGGTTCCCCTCCGAAGTGATGAATCTCACTATTCATAGACAGGGGTTTATTCATCCGGGGTCAACATTATTCGGGCAACCTCAGCCTGCAAAAAAACAGGTTATGGAAAATGGGCGCCTCTCTGTGATGCCGAAGTGGGGAATTCCCATCCCGATATCTCTATGGCCACCCCCACGGAAAATGCCACACAACATGTCGGCAACAAACGAGAATTGAGTGAACACTTTAGTTGAATAGTTAACCGCTAACACTTTGGCTCCTATGATCTATGACCATGACTTCGTTTTGCTTTGAAGTACCCCACAGCCATTTCCTACTTGCCTTCGGAGCTGCAGTGGCGGTTCAGCCGACACACAGAGTTCGGCAGAGAGACGGGGGTCTTTCTCAGAGAAGCGGCCATGGCACAAGTTCCTCTACAACCAAGGCAAATGGACGCAGCAAGAGCGAAGTCAGCTGGATGAACTGTTTGATCTTGTGTCTGCAGAGATTGACGAAGCGAGCTCTAAGCGTGCCAAGCCGTCGCCTGGCAATGATTGCGAGCCCCGCGGGCAAAAGTGGAAGGAGCACGAGCAATTTCTAGTTCACTACGCCCACAGGCTGGCTGTGAGAGATTGCTCAGGGTCAAGGCCCGAATCTGTCCTTGAAGCCTTCCATGGGCGAGAGGAGTGGGTGGTATATGTTTTTGAAGCGCAACGCAGGGAATTGCTCCGATGCTGAGGAGTTCAAGATGCACACGTTGTTGCGTTTTGTGCGCCTCCTAAAGCAAATGGCCAGCAAGGGCGCTACTCCTGCCCTGGACCCATGCGCGTTTGTGCATTTCTTTTGACATCTAAGGCGCTGTTGCAGAGAGAGCCTGGCAGCAAACTATTTTGGCAGGCTGCAAGGGCTAGCTCAGACGCAGGAGAAGCATTTTCTGCGCGGGCGGATGTGGCCAAGAAAATTCGCACTACGGACTCCCACGCAGGCACATTGGAGCATGAGATTGCTCCAGCTCACACTTCCCAGGTTGGGCTCATGCTTCACTGGATCTATGAAGCGGACTAGCTTCACGCAGCCAGGTTCAAAGGAGCTGCCTGTGCACCAACTTGTTACGTGCATGCTGCCCTGACCAGCTGTGAAATCGTTGTTTCCGTAACGGTTAGTGCTTGAGCATTGTGGCAACAGCGAACTAGCACCCATAAATGAATGACAACAAACACACCCACAACACATATCACCAACACATATCACCAACACATAGTGCACCGACACACAAGCACTAGTGGTCATTTGAGCACAAAAGGATTGGGTGCCCCCCATTCTCATTTTGGGAAATCCGCATACCTCCGTAATACGCGTAATACCTCCAGTTATTTTGTTGAGCTACAGTGGCTGCCAGTTCCAAAGAATGCCCTCTTCGCCGAAGAGTCGCATGATTTTGGCAAACACCATGGCATATGAGCAATTGGCACTTGGTCGCAGACCAGAGCTGTGGTTTCGCAAGGTTGAGCTTGCGGATCAATCAAGTGGGAACGGAACATTGGGTGGGCTGGGGTGTGTACGCGCACACACACACACCAAGTCGTGAGAAGATAACAAAGAAGAAAAAACACAATAACTAATCAAAGTAGAATCAAAAAGAAAGTTCTCCCAACACACCAAGTCGTTGAAAAACGACACAAATCAGAAGTAGAATCCAAAAAGACGGTCCTCCAGGCCGTCTTTCGAGACGTCGCGTGCACTCGGCGAACGGTCGCTGAGTCTTTGCGAGGCGAGGAGCGAATAAGGCCTGGCGGTAGATCATTGCTGGCCACGCCAAAACCTGCGATGCGATGGCTTGAACAAACCGGGACGTGGCCATGGGTCAAAACCGGGGTACTAGTGAACATCCCAATCCCCACTAAAATAGACTAAAATGGGTGGTGCACCTATCTCAAAATCGTACCATTGGCTTTGAACCATGGTCACATGGCCGGGGTTTGTTTCAAAGGCCCTACAAAATCTGTTGTTTCCCTTTTGGTTTTCCCTTTTAAGGTTGAAAATGCACTTCAAACATCACCAAGGGACACTCGCTGGAAAATCCGGGCCCAAAAGTTAATATGTAAAAGAAAGAAACGAGGGGAACATGCAGAGGCCCCTGAAAAGTCACTCATCTTTGCCGGGCACCCTTCCCACTGAGCACACATGTGCCTGGATGACCAAATTCCTCTTCCGGGGCCCTGTCAGGTGCCACTCTTGTGGAGAGGAAAATGTTGACTTTGTGCGGAGGGCCCCGCATTAAACCCTCAAATGACCCAATTTCCCAGAGTGGCACCCTTGCTGATCAAGCCGAAGTTGGCACTAGGCCGTGAGAGGAGCAAATGGGCCCAAAGCAGCAGCAGTAAATAGAAACTCGGGCGTCAAACATGGGGGGTCTGGACCAAAGTGCTTAACGCAAGCTTACGCAAAGCAATCATGTTGCTTGCGCTGGGTTTGGAGTGGGAAGCGGCGCCAAAGGTTCGAACATAGTTGGAACTCTGCAGGTTGCTCGTTGGTTATTCTCCCAAAACAACAAAGACACAAATGCAGTTTCCCCCTTGTAGAGACAAAACCAAATAGAGTCTTCCCAACCCAGGTTAATGGTGGGGATTATGAAGGTGGATCCGACAACAAATGTCCGACAAAAAAGGAGAGTGAAAGCCGAACCCTGTGATTCTTTCCTGATGAACACGGAACCCGCAAGCATCTTCGATTTTGCCGGGACCCCCTTTTCTACGTTCTATGCTAACTTACAGCGAACCCAAACAGATTGACACATAAGAATCAAACAAGGAAGACCAACCTTAGAAAAATCCCGAGAAACAAACTGAGGAATAAAAACAGAACTCTGTCTGAGTCTTTCTGCCGAGCGGAAAACGATGGGAAGCATAACATAAGTATTCCTCTATCTGCGAGTTGCAAAGAGACACCCCAGGGAAACGAACATGCACAAGGGAAAACACGCATAGACACATGTTCAAAGACAAACCAGCACTGGCAACGGAGTTGACCACTGGACTGGGCAATGACTAAGCGCCCGAACAATTACAGGATCGTACCAGCACCCCGGGCCCAACCGCGGCATCTTTGAACAGTACTTGGGAAGCTTGACATAAAATAGCAGTTGTTGGGGGTGCTGACAAAGAAACCTCCCACAAATTGCCGCGTTTGTTGGGGGAAAACTTTCACGTAGCTCCGAGCGGCAATGAGCGACCCGAAGCTGGCGCCAATGAGGCCGATCACATCTGCCACCTGCGCTCGAAGTGATGAGCTTACCTTCCCCCCGGGGCCCTGGCATTGGTGATTTGGTCTGGTTTAGAAGTTAGGGTGCTTTCCGATGTCTACAAGAACCAAGGGTTCAAATCCCAAAGCCAATCCGAAAAGCAAACCAAAGCATTCAAAAGCCTCACTGGAAGCAAGTTGTGATCCGGCACTTCACAAGGGACCTGCAAAACATCGTTAGCAAGTGGTGTTCCTTTCCGTTTCCCTTCCCCCCTCCCGTAAGGGAAAAACAAGAAGTGTATACCCTCAAAAAATGCACCACTATGGTCGAAAAAAGAGTCCGATTGGGGGAGAATCCTAATGATTCACCCATGGTTGGGTTTCTGCCTGAGGTCGCAATAAGTTGCTCAGTCTAACGACTTCCTGGAGAGAATCGGTTCCGTTTTGGCAGATTCATAGACCCCATGAGTTTCCACCCGTGGCTTTTTTCGGTCCATGGGATATGCAAGTCTCCCCTAGCCAGCCATAACCTTCTTTGCCTTTGGGAAAACGGCCACGGCTTTGTCCAAAGGGTGTCAAGGTGTCGGACCCTTGGAGCCTTCAGCCGATGTGTGGGGAACACAAGAGGATTGGGTGTGCACATGTATATTTACATATACGGCATTGTGGCACAAAACCCGCATTTATGCAACGCATGTAGTTACTTCCCTTGACGTGCAGGCTCGCAAACAACTTACATATCCAACAGATCCCTGGGCGATTCGGCCGCAACAAACCAGCCCTGGTTCATTTCAAGAGCCAACAAAAAATCACACGTGGTTTTCCCATGATCCATAAGAAGTGGGAATTGGTTCAACTTTTCCCCACAAGCCCCACAAGCCCATATTTTTTTCGGAACTAAACGTATGCTGAAAGGGGCAGGGTACCTAGTAAGTGATCAGCAAGCCCGGTTACAATCCACTGAACGGAGACTTATAACCATGGTACGTGGGAAGATAAGTGGTCTTTGTTGCCAATTTTATTCTTTGGTACCCAGTGGTGGGATATGGGCAATGGTCAAAATTAAACCTCAGGGGACGGCAGGTTTTAGTCATTGGCTCCACTTTACCAGGGGGTTACCCTGTTTTTGAAGCACCGCCATATGGGTATGAAGTTTAATTAGGGACCCTTTGGTGGACATCATTTAGGTGGGGATTCATGTCCACCAATCACTTTTCAGGGGGCCCCCCAATAACATTCACAGCCATTCGCCGTATTGCTGCCCACTTTCCCGACGCACCTCGCCCCTTGAAGTGCCGTTCCCCTACTCGCTGGGGGCCAAGGGTGGGCCTTGTGGCACCAGAGAGCGATAGCCACGCAGCTGGCCTCAGCTTCGGCTCGCCGTTGGAGCAAACACGGCGGAAGAGGCCAGAAACCAGATCTCTTGTTTTTTATTTCGTTTTTGAAGGGGAACAAGATCTCTCCTTGGCTTTCCTTTAAAAGGCCCAGGTTGGATTTGAACCACGGCTTCTTTTGAAAAAACACTCTTCAAACAGCAGCCTTCGAGTGGTTCTTTAGGTTGATTGAGCGCCGGGCCAACGGCCAACGGCCAACGAGCTACGGCCAGGGATGCGCAATATCCCTTCAATCCCAAAAGACCAAGCGAACGATCTTGATGTGTCCCCCGGGGAAGGTTTGGTTCATGGATTTTGCCGATCCCTGCTGTTGACCATCTTTGGGTGAATAGACGGTTTCCCACACAGACCTCTAGGCCAAACCCCGAAGCAAACATTTGACGTATAAGCATTATTTCAAGCCATGTACCTCTCTCTATCACTTCCAAGGAGTATGGTCCCAGCATTACTGGCCTCACTCGGACGAGAGCTGCCTATTGGCTTTGATTTGGTGGCAGTTCAGGGTTGATCGGGGCTGGTTTGGGGTGAGTGTTGGGCTTGCTGAGATATTAATGCGGGCGGGTCTTGGGTTTGTTTGGGGTTCATTTAGCCTCGGCAAAGGGCCGATATGCAGGATGCGGTTGGGAGGGTTTCAGGTTGACGTTGGGTCGGTGTTGGCTTGGTTGGGGCTGATTCGTGCTAGATGTGCGGCTGGTTTAGCCGTGGCTTTCGGTTGCAAAACTTGCAGAGCCACATCCCTGAACTGCACAGGGGACGTTGCGAGCTGACAAAACTAGGCTGGCTGCCTCCCAAAATATGCCAGAAGAAGAAAGAAAAGTCGCTTCATGGACTTCTGGTTCTGAGTGACTGGACTTCTGACCAGGCCAGAATGCTGGACTTCTCGTGGGTTCCTTTTTTTTTTCTTCTTCGGATTTTCTTCTTGTGGACCCCATATCCATGAACCAACCCTAGGTCTCCCAGTAGTGCCCTTTCTGTCCCCCTTTTTTGGGGGCGGGTTCCCCTACTTAAACAGACCACAGACAAAAAGTTGGTACCCTTCTTCTGTCCTCTTCTTTTGGAGGACCTAGTAATGCTGACCCCATATCCCTCAACCAACCAGTTTATTTATGAATCGCGGGGGTGGGGAGAGGCTCGCCTCCAAAAGTGGTCTGATTCATTCCTACCGGCGAGAAGCACCAACCCAACAGTGGATGGACGAAATCCATTTCGCACCGCCTAAGAAACCCTCTGGGAATGAGTCGATTCCCCCTGTAAATACCAACAAACCATGGCTCCCCATTGTTTCTTGGGTGGTGCGAAATGGATTTCGTCCACCCACATTATTAATAAGCCTGGGGTTGGTGAGAAAATATGGGGTCAATCTTACCATTTAAAGGCATGTTCTGTTCCAACTCGGTGATACTCCTCCGACCACCTCATCACAATTGCTTAATTCTACCACACTGGTTGTTTTCAAGGGCCCCGGGCCCCTGAGGGGTCGGGGTTCTCCATTGGAAGTTGTGTGTTATGGAGGGGTCATGACCCTTAGGGCATGTCAACATCAACGAACAAGTTCGCGCTCACGAGGCAATGCTTTTGTTCGCAGCGGGAAACAAATCTTCTCAGGTCCTGCCACTTGACTCTAAGTCAAGTCAACATACCCCAAAGTCAAGAGCTACTGCGGATGGACGAAATCCATTTCGTACCACCCAAGACATTGCCTGGTGGTGAACGTTTGGAGTTGAAAAGACAGTTGGGCTCCCTCCGTGAACATGCTGACTTCAGAGCTGTCAAAAGCAACCACAACGAAAGGCAAGCACGCACGATGCGAGCAAGATTGCTGCCACACGTGGCCGTGTGCAAGCCAAGCAACGCACGGAGCTGCAGTGCCCGAACATGCTGCTTCATTATTGCGCAAGATCACGGCAAATTGGTTGCAACCGGTCTGGGAGAAAGACAGCCTGGTTGCTCTTTCCAATCGTAGGCGCGTGAGCACAAACTTTGATTCTTTTTGCAGCGCCCAACTAAAACGGAACCAAACACATGAAACAACTCAAAACATATGGAAAGAACTGTGAAGCCATGATTTCCACGTCCAAGCCGCCACGATAGCGGTCACGACGAAGAAGTGCCTTGCGCAACGAAACGACGTGCGGTGGCCGTGGAAATGGCAATTTGTCACTTGCCGGATGAAAGGGAAAATAAAGGAAAGCCAGAAACTGGGCTCAAAGTGCCAAAAGTGAGCTGTGAATGGGTCACTGTTCCAAAGCAACAAAGTATTGAAGTTTCGATCGCAACAAGGTTTCAAGCTTGAAAACAACAAGACAAGTACTGGGAACATAAAGGAAACTATCTAAATCTAAACAGGCAAGCCCATTGTCTGTCCAATTTCACGTTGTGTATCCGAGCCGTGCCTTGAAACAACTTTTCTCCAGCTGCTCTGCCGGCTGTGCAACTCTGTCCAAGTGGGTAAGAACCATACCTTGTCCTCCAGTAGAGACGCTAGAATAAGGGTAACTTTTTCTCTGTAGTCTATTTTAGTAGGGAAACCCTCCCCCCAAAAAAAGGTAAAAGGGCACTACTGGGGGACCTAGTTGTGATTTAGGCTCACTTGCCAAGGACAACAAAAGGCTTAACCTTTTGGGATCCAAATAGGGAATCCAAAAAAAATGTATGTGGACAAAACTTGGAACTTGACCCAATCTGGGCAAAATTTGGAAAGCTAAAGGTGAAAAGGTTTGGCTTTGGACCAGTGAGCGAGCGGTTTCTAGACTATATACCTCAGTTCGCCCATTCCCACCATAATACGGTGTAACCAATGAAACCACCCTTGAAACAAAAACACTGTGGCATTTGAAGGGGATACCAAAAAGGGCTCTAACTTTCACAAAACCCTCCTGGTTACCCACTATACTTGGCCCACATCTGGGGGAATGTTTCTGACTATGTTTCATACTCCGTCTACCCCAAAACAGAAAATGGTTTTGTGATCGCAAACCCCCCCACCAATGTTGACCCCTGATTCATAAACGCCTCTTACTAAAACTGTTTCTGCACATTGTTGACCGTGAGGGGGGGGGGGTTGTGTGATTATTCAAGGAGGGGTGAGCGTGATTGATAAACCTTCTTAAGTTGTACTTTCTGAACCCTGTCGACCTTAGGGAGGTGAGTGTGATGAATAAACACCTTTTACTAAAATTGTATTCTCTGACCCTTGTCGACCTTGAGGGGGGGGTGCGTGATCCGAGGGGCGCATCATAGTGGACCCAGCGGATCCATGTACCTGTACAGTAGGTAACCAAGGGAACCTACAACAAGGGCTACATACAAAAAGGCAAAACAAAAGGAAAACAACAAGGTACCTACAAGGGATATGAATCAAAATGAAAAATAGGAAAGGGTTGCCGACAAGAAGCTTGCCTATGTGGCCATGGGTCAAAAGCCCGTACCCCCAGTGAACATCTCAATCCCCACTAAAATAGACTAAAATGGGTGGTGCACCGAAAACCCCAAAATGGCCATTGGTTTTGACCCACAGCTTATATGCCACATACGTCAATGGGCAGTGTACTTAGCAAAAGGGTACTACCAGAAACAAACGAACAAATGAACAAACAAAGAAAGAAACAAACAAGACAGACAAACAAAGAAACTTCAGAGTACCCCTTTCCAGCAAGCATGGAAGTTGAGGGAAGGGTATTGGAAGTTTTCCAGTCTTCCCTCCTCTTGAAAGAGTCCACTGTGCACTTCCGGGATTGTTGGAAAGAGGGTCAAAGAAACTGCAGAGTTCTATGTTCCACTGGACACTGGAAGCAGCTTCCGGCTGCCAGCTTGCCCTGCCTGGTGCCGGACCTGGCCCGCTTACTGCGCCCCAGCAGACCCAAGATGCTCGAGGCCTAGGCAAACGTTGGACGAGGTGGGTTGGTTGGTAGGTGGGTGGGTGGGTGGGTGGGTGGGTGGATGGGTGGGTGGTTTGCTTGCGTGCTTGCGTGCTTGCGTGCTTGCTTGCTTGCTTGCTTGTTTGTTGGCCGCCCCCCCCCCCACGGGCCGAAGTTGGCCAACCAGATGTTGTTTAGCCATTTTGCTGGGTTTTGGTCCAAGGCAGCTTTCCAGCCAAAAAGATGGCACAACATGTCCAATCGAACTTTCTCCTCCATTCGTGTCAAACCCACGATATCGGCTGGTCCAATCGAATTTCAAGTGCTATTGCCCAAAATATATGGGTGGCTCGTCGTTTTGTAGGAGACCCCCCCCCCCAAAAAAAAAAAACCAGCTTTCCTTTTGGATTTCCTTTAAATCCACCCCCACAAGGGATAAGATACCAACTTTAAACAAGGAAACCACCCTCAAACAACCCTGAATAAGATATTGCCATGCATTTTAGTTGCTGTTGGAAGAAACTCCCCCCCCCCCCACCCCATTTGATTTTTTTGTTATTTTTGGGGGGTCCCCTCCCCACTTTGATGAGTATTTCTTAAGCAAATGGAAGGTCTCTGCGTCTCTCAACTCACCTCGCACCGGCAGATCTCAGGCATGGGCGGCAGGGGACAGGTTGATGGGCGCGCCCAGGCAAACCACGATGCCGTAAATGCAGCCTTGGCCATCGCAGCGCCAGTTCTGTGGTTGACTTGCTTCTTTAATTGTTGCTTGTTCGGGGCGATGCGTGATGTATAGCTGAATTTGTGTTTAGTCTATTAGCCTTCTGTTTGGTTTTCGGGACTCACAGGACCTGGAAATAAAAGGCGAATGGATCTGTTCAAACCTCAATCACCTGTGTTGGTTCTGCCAACATGCTTTCAAATGTTTGTGCTTGCTCTCCTGCCTGATGATAAACACCCGCTAAACTACCAACGAGTACCTCCACGCCCCCCCCCCCCCACAAAAAAAAAAAAAAGATTAAATTGGCAAGCTTGCGAAATGGTCGGTGTGAACTCAGATGTTGGAAATAAACGTAACTATACCCAAACTGGAAAACCACAAGGTCAGTTCAAAATCAAAGCAATTTGCTTTGGGGGCAACGGAGGAGACAGTAATACTGTGCGAAGCCCGAGCGCGTTACCGGTGCCAAAGAGCCAGCCACTCCTGTTTGACGAATGCATTTGTACGAACAAGCTCTACACGCATCCAAAAGCAATCTCGAAGGGTCCAAGTACTCCATATCACGGTGTTGGTGTTTGTTCAAGGGAATTCGTCCCCCAAATCCAATATGAGGTACCTTTGGGGACCCTTTGCAATGCGACACGTTCAGGGGCCTGCATATATGGGTCTTTTTTGGGAACTCTCTTTTGGTTGGTTTTAAAGGGAACCCAAAGTAACACCACCATTTTGGGGGTCCCCAATAAAAGACACACCCATATTTGCTAGGAAAGCAGCGCACGCAGAACATCGTCATGTCGTCGTTCCGGTAGTTCCTTGGCAGTCGTTACGATCTGTATTTAGTGGAGGTCCAACAAAATGTAACACGATGTCCCAAGGTCCAAGAAAGTGGTATCGGCATCCCATTGGAGGTATCCCAATGTGATCGGACGCAGTTGGGTTCAACATGATTTCGTGGGTGCTAGGATTCATCCTCTCGACAAGCGCCACGCGGGTGGTTTGGCGAGGGCCTATGTTTCTGAACTCTGCTCATACGCTGAGTAATTAACTTCCTGAGTGGATTGGTCAACCAAGTCCAAACTGTTTCCCACTAATAACATGGTCTCAAGCACTAACAACATAGTTGTTCAAATGAACACCGGACCTCAAGTGCACCAAACTCCCCACGCCCCCCAAACAAACACACACAGGCGCGTTCCACCGCCGACCCGCACGCGCCGACCGAAGTGCACCGCGCAACGAACCGCCGCCCGCCGAGGGGCAGGATGAAGTCCTGTTCCGTGGCTCCCTGGAAGGAGACCTCGGCTCGCCGGAGACGGCTCGAGCCATTTGCTTGGATGCTCGGCCAAGTTGGTGAGCGGTTTGGCCATCCAGGAAAATATTTCCACTAGTGAAACCGATTCCCTTGAAAACCAACAGGGGAAAATAAAACATATCCTTAAGCAAATGGAAGTGGTTTGGTTTGGGTGTTCCGGGTGTTAAAACCGCCCATCACAATTCGCCCGCCTCGGAAACGGTGGCTTGGATTGGTGGGAAACCCCCGTCCACCCTCTACAAGAATCACAGCCTCAAATCCCTCATCCTGGAGGTGGGTGGGGTTTGTTTGTGTTCTTTGGTGTTTGCCAAGACACTGGGGACTTGCCGCTCGACCAGTGCACTATTTCCGGCGAAGCCACCCTGCTGTGTGTGTTTTGTGCCAGAAACGAGAGACTTTAGGAGATCAGTTTTCTTCTCAATCCAAAAAGGCAGAAGGGGCAAAAACCATTCAGCAAAGGGAAGTGATAGTTGGGGTTCCCTCCATGTTGTTGCAATTCCCAAAGCGGGGTAATTCTGTTCCATGGGGGCTAAACAAACCTCACGTGGTTGCTCCGTGAAGTTAATGTGGGCACTAAAACAATGCCGACCACTGTTGGGTCAAGGTCAAGAAGAAACGAACGTCTTCCCAACCCAAGAGGAAACAACAACGACATGCACAGCAACAAAAACACAGAAACCAACAAAAAAAACCTAAAGCGTACGTGCACATCTCTAGGAGCCAACATGGCAAGCTCCGGGCGTTTGGAAAATCAGGGAACGCCCTCCCCACGGACCATCGTCATGAAGCTCCTTTTACCCCAGGTAAGTTCCGTACACTTTATCGAGAATTGGTTGAACAGCCTCCATTTGCATAAATCACCTGCGCAAATGATATATGTCCAGTGGTGATTGATTTCTCCCAAAACCGACAGGGGGGGAGCAAAATATATTCTTAAGGGTGTCTCGCTTAGCGGAACCCCCTTAAGGTTTCATGGTAAAAACACAACTAAAAGGGCTTCCAACGCATAGCAATTGGCAGGCAGCTTGTTGCATGGAATCACCATGCCTCAATTCGCCCTGAATTCTGCCGGAATGCGTAGCCAGCAATGCCCATGACGAGGTAGAACACGAACTCAATGCACACCTGAGACCCACACCCCAGGTTTGGCTGTCACGTATGCAGGGGTTGCTCAAAACTTGGCCGAACACACAAAGACATGTTCAGGATTATGTTGCGCGTTTGGTCTGCACCAACAAAGAAATGCTTTACAAGAAGCCCGTCACTTTAAATGTGTTGTTCCAGAGACCCTGGGAGAAATTAGCCCCTGGAAAGGGTGATATCCCTTTTCCGGGCTCTAAAGACAAAAGGAGCAACTCTGGAGTGAGAAACCAACTCGAAGAAAGGGACACTGATTGGGCCCACGCTACGATGCGCCTGGGGACTTCGGGGACCAAGATTCGCGCAGTAGCGCCTCCAAAAGAACGCCCCCAGCAAAATCCGGAGCAAACATGCGCCCGCGCCGTCAACAGCGCCTCAAACAGCACCCCGCAAGACACCCAGCCGTCAATCTTGCGAAAATCAACCAGCACCCCAAACAGAACCCCAAACCACTACCTAAGCTGCATGCCCCCCATGCGCCCTACCATCAAGATGCAAACATGCACCTGCACCGTCACCATGGTAGCACCCGAGCGCCAATCTCGCCAAAATGCGCCCGCGCCGTTGATTACCAGCACCTCAAACAGCTCCCCATAAACTGCGTCACGCAGCACCATCAGCACCAGTGTTTCAAACCGCGTCCTCCCCTCAAGATGCAAAAATACGTGCGCACCGTCACCCCCCAAAACAGCACCGCGCAAGCGCCCCAAACTGCATGTCCCCTAGCGCAATACCGTCAATCTTGAAAAGATGCGCCCGCGCTGCCATCAGCGCCTCAAACAAGCGCCTCAATCAGCACCTATACTAGAAGTTGGAACCCCTAACGCCTCCACTATCTGGGGAAAAAACGTGTCAAACCTGCAAGGCATATATGGGGCTTGACTGCGATCACAGACCGACGAGACAGCTGCAGTTACAGCTGCGTGACCCAGCCTAGCTTCACATGCTTGACCGAGTTGCACGGCTATTGGACACAAGTCACTGTCTGAATGCATGGATTACATAAAGCCAATAAAGCAAATAAAAAGGAGCCGGCGCACAGAAAACCGCAAAGATGCGTAAGTCAATGTCTGAAGGCGCGGATTGAAACCAGTAAAAAGATATCGAGTTGGCGCACAGAAAATGCAGGTCGCAAAGATGCGTGGCCTTTGGACACAAGGCGCTAGCGTGGGCGTGGGCTCGCAGCAAACTACTGAAAAGTGACGGCTTGAAAGCGAGGCTAAGCGAGGCTGGCTGCAAATAAAAAATATGTAGCAAACCAAAATTTTGGAAAGACATGGGCGTGCCTTTTTGTAGGGATCTATCTCTTTTTTTAGGGAAGCCCGCAGGAAAATTGAAGCTCTTCATGGAGAACTCTCGCTAACCAGGGAAAGATCCATTGTGACAGGGCCCGCTGTTGGGCTCATAGAGACGGGGTTGAGACAGACAGTCGTAGCTTCCAAACAAAAAGCCCGCCTCCATTTTTTGAGTGCCTGACAGTCCATGCGCACAAACAGATGGCGCGCCAAGACAACGGTCCTCGGAGTTCGGCGAAGCAACGCGACAAACACACGCGCACACACACAAGCGCAAATACACGCACAGCGCAAATTCAAGCCCTGCAAACACGCGGTCACGAGTTGCGAGCGACAAGCCAGGCGCGCACACACACACACACACCTTAGCGCACGCGAACCTTTTTTTTGCGCAGCGCATCTCTAGGCGTTTCTACGCGCCTTCCCATTCGGCGGCAGCGTCTTCTGCGTCTGCCGCCGCCTCCGCTGCCAGCACTTCGGCTGGCAGCGGGCCCTCGTCGCTGTCCGAGTCAGACGGCTCGTCGACGCCTTCTCGGACAGCGTGTCCCCTATGGCCCCATCCCCTCCGCATAGGAAGGGGAGGAGGCCATCCGGCTGCTGGACCCCGAAGAGGCACCCGCTGCATCTGTCCGCGCCGCCTGTTCGCGAACAAACGCAAATCGACGAGTCGTTCACAATTTTGTAGTACCGCGCAGACGGAGGGCAACTGCTGCCTTGGTGCTGATTTTGCACCAATCCGTCGCTCATTCGAGCGACCTCGCATCGTCAGCGCGAAGCAATCAACAGCCCCAAAAGGAAATTGAGGGCGATCCTTTCGGCGCATAACTTTCATGAAGAGCGCCTTCTTAGTATTGCCGCCAATTTGCTTGGCGGGCTTTTTCACCTTCGCGCGTGTCGAGACTTCTTCTTCAGCGCCTCCTTGCACGCCTGCGCGCAGCTTAGCTATAAACGACGCGAAACGCAACGAAACATCTGCAAAGTCACTCTGGCGGATGACTTCGCAGCGGTCCATGCGTCTGTCGCCTTCAAGGCGTTAAAGTTTTCGCCCCTCCAGAACTCAGGTCTTTTGGCCCAAAAATACCCAGTCGACGTGTCAAAACAGGGCACAAGCCTTGCCGCTGTCTGCGCTGGCCGGCCGATCAGCGTGGCGAAGTTCAAGAACTTATGTCGAACTCGTCCTGGAGCAGTAGCATTTTCCGGGCAGAAAATCACAAGCGCCCTTGGCGCCAAAAAATGCGCAGCTTGTCCGATGTGAGGAACAGGACGCGGAGCTGCCTCTCCGCAAAGTGCTCGATCAGCTCGCCTCGCGCCCATACCCCTCCACCGTCAGTGCGGTCGACGACCTCGTCCAAGTTGGCAATGTCCTGGCTACACTTGCCCTCATGCTGTCAAGCCATTGTTGTCGGCAGCCGCGTGCTAGATAGGACTCCCCCCACTGCCGTGGGGCAAGAAAGGCGTGCTCCTCCAGCTGGAAGGTGGAGTTAAAGTGAAGTAAGCTTGAGCCAAAATGGCTATGGTTGGAGGCCATGTTGGGGTCTCCCTTCCTAGGAACCCTTGCAATGTTTTGTCTTCAATCGTTTCTGATGGGTCAATGACCATCCATAGAGACCGCAAGTAAACGAAGGGTCCTTCGACCTTGGCACACATGGAAAGACCTGGGAATTGCCTTGGACAAGTAGAGGCTGTCGGATGAGAGTGCTGCGCTCTTCGTTGTTTGAAGGCATGCTAAACATAGACAACAAATCTCCAAATGGAGAGTTGTCTGTGAACCCACAGTCTTTTGACCAGATTCTGAAAACAATATTTACTTCGCGCAAAAACAAAGAAGTGGTGACAACCAATTCCCATCCACCAGCAAGAGTGACCGAGGCCTGGAAAACCCGTCCAAAACCGATCTCCTGGAAATACTGGTCCGTTTCTCATTGACAGGTTCCAGGTTGGGGGGGAGGGGGGGAGGCCACTTTGCAGGGAAAGTGAACCTTGGCTAGAGGTCGATGTGAAACCTTCGTGCTTCGGAGATCTCCAAGAGAGGAAACAGTGGAAAAGGGTTCACAAATCACTGCTATGGCCGTTTTGTCTTGCCTAACTCTTCTCGGTTGCGCCAAAAACCGTCCTTCATGCCCTTGCGGAGTCCCTGCTTCTTTGTTCCTCTGACTTAAGCAGTTTCGCTCTTATAACTTCAGATGCCACAAATACCACACACACACAGAACGTAGCAACTCAAAACCAAACCCAAATATCCACCATGGCTCCTTCAAGCCCGATCAGTTTTGCAAGGGGGTGTTTCCACGGATATGTCTACAGACCCTTGCAACGCGCCTTTTTTGCGGAATGCACGAATTCACACTTGTGCAAATCAATTTGCCACCTGGCACCCCCAAACCTCACGCTTTCCACCCAAGGGAAAGCTAATTAGGGAATGCACACGCCTCTTAGTCTTACAAATATCGCCCCCCCCCCCCCAACCAAAGAAAAAAAGGGAAAGACCTAGACTTCAGCTCCCGGAATAAAGTCACACCAACAAAAAAGACCCCTGCCCAACAAAAAGAAAGAAAGAAGAAAAGCAACAACACGTTTTTACCCTTCTAGACTTCACCCTCTCCCCCCAAAAAAAGAAAACGAAAAAACAAAAGCAAAAAACAACAACACATGAAACCCTTCTAGACTTGGGCCCTGAAAACCCTCAAAACCCTCCAAGTAGAAAAGAAAACACGTGAAACCCTTCCCCGGGGACCCAAAAGCTTCGAAGGCGCTGAGTAGAGCGACACCTTCCACATGGCGGCGCCGTCCGCCTGCTGCAGGGCTGTTGCCACCGGCACCGCGTTGGTGTGGGCGGCGAAGGAAAACCTCAAGCTCGCTGGCGGCTTGGCTGGGTGCCTCCTTTTTTTGGGGGAATTCAACGAGTCAGGGCTTCTTGGTGCCTGGAGGGACTAACTGAACCATTCAACTAATTCAACTAGTCAGGGTTTTTGGGGTGCCTTTTTTGTGGTGCCTTTTTTGTGTGCTCTTTTTCTTGGGGATTAATTGAACCATTCCGTCTTGAATTGTCAGATAGTTCTTACCATTCAATTGAACCATTCAATTTTCAGATGCAATGAATTAGTTTCCCTTTGAACGGTCCGAATAAGAACTTGCTGGTGCTCAGCAGGAAATGAGGCAACCACCCCATATAAACCATCCCACTGGTGGTTTCCTTCAAGGGAATCCCCGGTTCATTCCCTCACTCCTTGCTGAGCACTAGCAAGAAAATGGAATGCTTGGGCAACTGCCCCATGTGGGTCTGTGTTTCAAAGGATCAGCATCATGTAGGCTTGTACCATAATTGTGGACATTAAATTGGCGTACCCAAGCCAAAAAGCCGAACTACAACGGCGGACATCCGCAACTATTTCTGGCTGGGACTTTCCCTCACCTTCACTTGCCCGGGTTTGGAGTATGGCTCAGCTGGGTGCGTTTAGGGACGTGGTTTCCCTTGAGCCATGTGCTCAAGACAAGGGTAGATGAAGATTAAGGGATAGTGCGTTAACCCGTAAATAGATGCCATTGCCGCCTGTTTAATTCTTGAAGCATGGTTCTGGGTAGACCATTTGAGTACCATGTATTGGTTATCAACGAAAACATGCAGGCTGCGCTTTGGAGTTGCTACCCTTAAGTTGGTTCAGCGGAAAGCCAATTGTCGTGCCGGTTCTCAGCAAGGAATGATGAAGGGTCTTGGGAATGAACCAAAGACATAGGGATTTTCTGAACAAAGAAAGCCACAGGGAATGACTCAAACCAGTCACTTCCAGCTGAGAACCAGCAAGTATTAAGCGTCCTGGTGCGCGCGAGGAGCGCCCGCGAAAAGGAGCGGGGGAAAAAAAAGGCGCCCATTTGGGTGTTTGCTCCCTTGGAGAAAATGAAACAATATGTCCACTAGATATAGGTTCCCTTTGAATCCAAGGGAGGAAATAAGCAATTTGTCTTCAGGAAATAAACGCAAGCCCTCGAATAAGAGTTTCCTAGTTACCTATGGAACCCCACAGCAGCCTGGAACCACCCCTAATTGCTTCGCCCTAACAATACATACCCGGTCCTCGTCCAACTCCGGGCTCAAAAATCGTCCTGTTAGATAGGCACTGGTTGTGAATTGGTTTCAAATGGTGTAAGATTGGTTTAGTATCGATTTAGAATTGGCTCAGCATCGGTTCTACCAAAGTTTCCCCTAATGAGACACAAGTTGGGATCGGCGGGACTCGTTTAGAACATTCTAGAATTGGCTTAAAGTATTGGCCAATTCTACTTGTATTGGGAGACGTGGGGTCTGAGAGAAGAAGAAAAACGGATTCCTTAATAAGTTTGCCCTTGTTCCACTTAACAGGGGCGGCAATAGATTCAGGAGTGTCAAAGGACCCATGGATCAGCAAACCAACACCAGAGTCGGTTTCTTTGGGCTCTTGACCCCCCTTGCCTGGAGCTCGGTCCCTCAAGTCACAAAACTGGAACCGAACCAAGCAAACTCTAGAAGGGCGTGTCTCAAAATGGGGCAACTAGGTGGCTTCCCTTTTTGCTTTTGCTCTGAAGCCACAAAAAGAAGGTACTCAAACAAAAAACGATCAGAACATGCATGTACCCAGGACGGAGTAATCCTTGACAGGCCGCAAGGCGATGCTGAAGGATTGAAGCATTGCATACCTCAGCTGCAACAAAACCGCATGTCCAGAGCGAGCTGTGACTTTGGAGGCCCCTCTCAAAACATTGACTGTCCTCGGTTGCGAAATCTGCTCCCCTGCTAAAAGTGCATAACTTTTAGTGGTTTAATACGGAACACCCATTAGTTGGCAAAAAGGCAAAGTCCTAACATCAAGCAAAATGCACCAAAGTGTGGCTTTTGCCCCATCTCCCCCTGTCCCATAGTGACTTTCAGGGCGGTTTGCCTTTCAACCATCACTGAGGGGCAGGACAAGCAATTAGAAGCCAAGGCGCGGGTCATTCTTCCACCAGACCAATTGCCACTCATCTGCGCTCCTGTGACGCTTAGGACCAATTCTGCCTTTCCACGTAGCTAGCGAGTCATCCGAGGGAAAATTGCCGGGTGGTATCCCCCAAAAACACCCCCGGAGAAAGCACCTCCTATAGGTAAGCCCATATGTTTTGAGGGAAGCCTCCCTTCTTGCTGGGAACCAACACGAAACACCACCCTTGTTCTGCCCTTGAGGGTTGGCCATCTTGTAAAAGGCTTGGAGCGACCCTCATGAAGGCCCTTTATACCCGGCCAAATCGGGTACCCGAAAAAAAAAAAAAAGGACCCCACTAATACAAGGGGCGAACACAAATACGAATAGTATTTTCCCATAGTCATGACTGACTTGATGTAGCTTAATGGTGCCCCAAGCCCCCATTCCTCACTTCCTGAGTTGATGGCAAACAAAAAGTCGAAACTGTTTGTGTACTGATAAAAAGGTCTTCCCAAAAAGTTCAAAGTCCATCATCTAGCCTCCCACCAGCTAACATGGAAGTGCACAGACCCCTGCAGAAAGACTACTTTCCTCTTGGAAAGGGCCTTTTTGCACTTCCATGTTAGTTGGTGGGAGGGTAATTATTTGGGTCCTGGTATTCTCGAAATGGACTGCCAAGTCCTGCTCTCCGCATAGCTGGGCGCTTTCAGTGCTACTGCCACTGCGGTGAGGCAAATCGCCAGGACACTCAGCACGCCTCATAGCCCGAAGCGAAGAAGCGAAGCGAAGAAACCGTCAGTATTTGCTTTTGTTTACCGAGATTTCAGCTGAGTAAAACAGAACGCTTCAGGGGTTTCAACTCCCCCAACCACCAAACCAAACACAAATTAAGGATTCCCAAAAAGTAAAAACACCGTATTTTGTGGAAAACAACTGATATTTTGCCATACCTTGAAAATAAACGGATATTTGCTGAGAGGGTTCTTTGACTTTGGTACCCGTCAAAACAACTGAAAAGCCTTGTGGTTGCCTTGCGGCTGCCACCGCGAACTTGGGGGTTGAGGAGAAACTTGGACCCTGCAAACTGAGAAAATCGCTAGGGGAGATACAAAACTCGGCCTAAAACTCAGAGAAGGATTTATAACAGCATCTCACTTGAGTGGATTGGCCAAAAGAAGTCCAAACTTTGTTATTTACCACTAATCATGTCTTCCCCAAAACTAAGGTCCGAAACGGAACTCGGGGAGCGAGATATCCATGCTAGTTTGCGCTTTGGAGCAAATGTTCTACACTCGTCGTGCCGAGCAGCACACATGCCGCAGAGCAGAGAGCTTCGGGGGCAGGGACAGCGGCCACACCACCAACGCAGAGATACCGACCTAAAAGCGCGTTGGGCTTGTCTAACCCCAAAAGGGGGTTGTACCCCAGCAAATCAAGGGAAGCCAAACCCCGAATCAGGCACTGTTCAAGTGAGGCAGAATCAAAACATCCCAAATTGCCTGACAGCGGGCGACACGAGAAGTTTGACGGGGGCTCATCAAAAGGGTAAAATGGAAAGTGACTCGCCGGGTGGCAATGAGCGTCTCCCTAGAAACGTCCAGCTGCAGCAGCGGCGACCTCGGCTAGCAGGTCGGTTCCAATTGTCTGAACGTGGTGGAAACGCAGAAATTGGACAAACGAACAAGCGGGGATACAGAGGGAGCGGGATATGGGGGGATTCCCTTGGCACCATATCAAACTTACCCAGCGACTCTTAGTAACCTGTATAGCTAGTAAGTGGCCTTTGGCGACTGTTTTTTTGGGAACCAGGCTTGGTTCCCCAAAAAGTGGGAACCAGATTCCTGTCTAACGGGTTTAACGGTTCCGGGCTTCTTTTTCACGGTTCCGGGCCTCTTTTAACTTTTTCACTGTCCCCAATTTTACGGTTTCGGGCCCTTTTTTGTGGTTCCTGGAACCAGCGGTCAGTTACCAATATGGCAGGTAAGCAAGCTGGTTCCGCACATGGAGGTAACTGGAAGCACTGGGTTAGTCAAGGTGCATTTAGGGGGAATCCTGCCCTATCCCTCGTTCCCCCTGTATCCCTGCTAGTTGGTTTCCCTGAATAAATGGTGTCAAAATAGGGGAGCACACAAACTGGCGACTTTCCTCTGGGTTCCGCGACATTTGTCCCAGGCACTCCAACAAGGGTATGGGTGTGTTTCTTTGTTAAGGGCTCTTTGTTGAGGGTACCCCCCGCATATTTTTTGTGGTTTGCAAGGGACATCAACAGAAAATGCCGCCCGTTGTGGGGGTCCCCTCAACAAAAACACAGCCTATGCTGTGAATGATGAACTCTGGATGCGCAACAAAAATCCCCCACCACAGGCCCCCCAAGTTGGGTAACCCACTGGTGCCCAGCTTGGAATGAGAAATAGAATGACCCCCTATGAAGCTTCCCCTAAGAGGATCCCATTCCGGTTCATTCCCAACACCCTGGCTCATTCCCTACCTATCGCACCAGCAAGATAAGTTTGGACGAAAGGCCAAAATGAGCTGTGCCAGGCAAGAAGATATCAGCGATGAACGCGCCAACAAATCGCACTATGCGCCAAAAGGCCCTGCTCTTGGTACTTATTGGGGTCAAGGCCGTTTCCAGGTGGACCAACTCGGAAACTTGTAGTGTTCAATGGACCCTTACATGGGACATACCTCCTTTTTGAGTCAGCGGCTGACATCATGCAACATACCGAATCACACCCTGCAAAAGGTGGGTATTTGGAGCAGGGGGCAGCTCTTTCCACCTCTGGCTTTCCTTCCATGGTGGTTTTCCCTCAACTAGTGGCCTGCAAGGAGAGCTTCTCGGACCTCCCAACGCTGGGGCCGCGGGCTTCACGATGCCCAGGAAGAAGTCCCCGATGAACATCAAGTAGCACAGGACCGCTGCAATCCTCGAAAAGCACCGCTACATAGCAGAGCCGTCCAGGGCCAGCATGGCCAAAAAGTCCCATGGAGCTTCGCAAAAGCCGCTGAACATGTTCTTCCCAAAAAGTAGTACGTCTGGGAACTCAGGGGTTTAGGCTGGGGTTAAACGGGCGGCGAAGCAATAATCGCTTGCCCAAATGGACCTGCATTCAGGGGAGCATCTTTTGGGATTGGCTTTCGGCCAAGTGGGTATGGGTGGTGCCGTCTTTTCGTCAAGCAAAGACAAAGGTGCCCGGAAGTGTAGAAACACCCGCTCACCGCTCATGAGAACCCAGCCTCCTGCAAATCCGACAACAAGTTGCGCTGCTCAAAGTCTTCACAGGGTGCTGACTGCCTACAAAAGGTTGGATATGCAGCTTAAATGGTCTTATCCAAAAGGACAAAAAGTCTAAGGACTCGGAATCCACCAGTCTCTGCCTGGAGTCTCCATGACCCTCTAAAAATGGGTCAATGACCCCATTATTTTGGGTAATGACCCCATTTTTTTAAGAAGGAGACTCCAGGTGGGCTTCAAAGGGACACCTTCAACTCGCTTGCTGAGGCAAACAAAGTCCAAACTTCCGGGCCATGGCCTTTCAGTGACTGAAGTCCAGGAACTCAGGGACTGATTCAAGACGAGTCGAGTTTTCCTTGAATGGAACTCCAGGGGTCGCTCCTTCCTCGATTTCCATTTTCAAGGGGTTGGAGATCTCTCACGTGTTGGGTCTTTTGTCAAACGTTGTAGCCTCACCAAGCAGAAAGCACACGAAACGCAGTAGAACCGTCCACTCCACTTCGCAAGCGAGATGAATAAAGGCGTCTCTCACATCTACTGAGTCAGACACGCTAGAATCGTCCACACATTCGCAAGCGAGATGAAGCAGCGTCTCTCACATCTATTGCGTCAGACACGATAGAACCATCTACTAAAATGGCAACTTGTTGGACCTTTGGGAGCTGCTCACGTGTTGGGCTTCAAAAACGAAACTCTATACCTTCCATGTCCATTTCCAGGGATCCGGATCTTTCTAAACCTCCTTTGAACCCCAGGAAGAACGGATCCGGTTTTTGGAAAGAAGGATGCTTGAAAAGAATGGACAAGGACCTTGTGACAAGGAATCAAACCCTGGACTTACCAAGGGCTTGATAAGGCCTCATTTGGGCTCCCTCCCCCTCCCCCTGCAAGTGAGGATGAAAGCCGTGCCCTAGAGAACCAATGGTGCCATTTTGGGATCGGTGCACCCATTTTAGAACCCATTTGAGTGGTTGGATTGAATCGGATGTTCACTGGGGCTGCGAGTTGGACTTTGAAAAGCCCACGGCCACGTGGCCACCTTGGGCTTCGAACACGACCAACCCCTGCGCTCGAACCCGCGGACTTTCGGTCCCGTAGACTGCGATGACCACGTCCACCACTTTCCCGGCGCGCCGGGACCCGCCGGAGGCCAGCGAGACCAGCTGAGCCATGCCTCGGTTTCGAGGCGCGAGGCGCTCGGCGAAAGAAGCAGCGCTCGGCCACAGTCAAATCCGGGGAACAAACAGCTTATATACATATGAACCCTGATTTCTGGATTGCTGGTTGGGGGGTATCTTTTCATTTTCCAATGACAATACAAGGTTCAAATCCCAAACCAATTCTGGGCTGCCCGATTTCTATTCCCCCGCTAAAAGTGGAAAACTTCTAGTGGGTTAAATGGAAACTACCGCGAAACACTATAAAGCTAAAAGGCCAAGGCTAAGGGGATGGCTGGGAGCCACCAAGTTGGCCCAAGTCAAATCTGGGGAACAAGAAACATATATGGCAGTGGGTCAAAAATATGTACCCAAAATGGGAATTCTGGTAAATGGAAACATGGATTCAACCTGTGATCCCATGGTGGTTTAATTTTGACCCAAAGCCATATATTGAGATGGTCGGTATTTAGTCAGCCTTCATTGCAACCAGATTAACCCCAAAGGTGGATGTGGGGAGAGCAGGTAGGAAATGGGGGTGATCCTTACTCCAACTTCGAGACTCCGGTTCTGTGGCAACGTAGGTTGACCAACTTGCAAGCAGCCTGAAAGTGGAACAAGTGGGACACCATGTTGGGTGTTCCAGAGGACAAAAGGGATTCGTTACAGGTCAGATCGGAGCAACTCATGGTGAGCCAAGCCAATTGTTTGGGCCTGTGGGTTGGCAAGGCTTCCTGTGTCAGATGTCCTTTGCTGAATCCGTTTTTGAGAAGGGTTTCTCACCTCAAAAGGAATCACCTGGAGTCTCCATGACCCTTTAAAAATGGGTCAATGACCCCATGATTTTAGGGTAATGACCCCATTTTTAAAGGCTCATGGAGACTCCAGGCAGTTGCCAAGGGAGACGTGGCCATGGCAACACTGACTTGCCCAGTTCAACCTTGGATTCGTTGGGAGCCCTCATACCACTGAACTGGGAATGAGCCATGCCCATGAGTCATGGTAGGCCCAATGGAAGACCTTCCTCTTCTTTCCTGCCGCTTTCTTCCCTAAAAAGTCAAGTCCAGGAACCTCCCTTGGTTGACGTAAGGGGAGCAAGTATTCTTTAAACTTTGGCAGTTAAGTGGTTGGATTTCAACCACTCAACCACGATAAGCAAACATGTAAAACATGTGTCCCAACAACGTTCAGGAACCTCCTTTGCTGAGTTCCTGTCCAGTGAGCTTTTCCCAGGCTCAAATTCATTTCACCAAGCCGCTGTCGGAATCCGTGTACCTCGCGCAGCTCATCAAGACCTGAGCATCGCTTGGGGGGAAAAAGGCAGCTGACACTGAAACCAGGGATATTTTTGTTCACTTCCTGCGCGGATGGGCCAAAAGTCTAAACTTTCTGTTTCCCCAAATGGTCCAAACCCAAGAAGTGACTCAAGTCCAGGAACACAAGCAAGGAGTGACACATTTTAGCCCGATATGTCTAGCTGCACTTCCTCTTTGTGAATCCAGGAGTCCCGCTTGTTCAGAGCAAATACTCAGGATTGCAAAGAAGGAAGGTGAAATTCCTCAAGGGCCACGTGTCAACAAGTGGCAACCTAAATCGAATTCCCACTATGGGCAAGCCTCTCCAAAAAATCCAAAATGAAGGTGCAACTGTACTGGATTGGGTACCAGTTGCTCAGGCACCCTGGCAGAAAACAATACCGCTCTTGATGTTGGTCTTTGTTGTTGTCCGGAAGACACCAAACAAAAGGGAAGTTGGGATGGAATTCACAAATGCACTAAGCAACTGGGATCCCGGGAGTGGTGTTGGAGGTTTCTTCGCAACGAGATGGACGAGACACCACCAAAGAGGTGTGCGCAAGAACGGCGCCCAGCGTCAGCATGAGGATGCCGGGGATGATGCCTTGACCAATCGGAAGGTGGAAACAAGGACTAAAACCTGCGGTCATCTGGTGTTTAACTTTGCTCCATACCCAACTCAGCAGCCAACTTGCTGACTAAGCATGTTCCAACCACGTTTGCTCCAACATCCTCATTCATCTGTGCGAGCCCGTTTTGCGCGGAGCTTGAGCTGAGTGTGTGACTGAAAGCAAACCATGGGGTCCAAGGGGAGAGCCCTGGTGAAACCGTTCAGAAATCCGGGAACCTTCCGTGAAAGGAACGCCAAACAAAACTCAATCTTTCTAGGGGTTCCATGTCCTAGTTTGAGACACACCCAAAAAACAAAAAAACACCTGACAACCCTGTTCAACCCTGCTATGTATACATTTGGTCTGCTGCAACATGGATCTCCCCTGATGAAAGGTTTGCCCATGTTTGAAGGTTCCCGAAACAACCAAACCACCAGGCACCAAACCACCCACTAGCGAGGCCCCAGTGGGTGGCCGCCCTGGATGTTGGAGCGCAGGCAGGTTCCAATCCAGAGCCAGGGCAAACGGAAAGACCGATAATATAGAAAAAAAAATATATACATATATATCCCCCTCTACCTTAAAGCGGATTGGGTTGGGGGGGGGTCCCCCAATTCTATTCTTCGTGTCTTCCCCTATAGAATGGGAAAATGGAACCACACATGAAATTCCAGAAATCACCCCCTCCCCCCATTCCATTTGTAAGCGCCAACACCAACACCAACCAGCTTCTTCCGAGACCCTTCGACCCGGCCTGCGGTCTTCAGCATGAAGGGCAGCCTCCAAACCGGCCGAGTGGCATGGCAATGGCTTGGGTTCTCTGGGGTCTTGTGTGGCCAAAGGTGTTCCTTGGGGCTGGGTTCCTTGGGGTTGGGTCCCTTGGAAGTCCATGAAATTGGGGTGCCTGAGGGGAACAGATCTTATAAGGGGGGAAGGGAGGGAAAGATCTTAGGAGGAGGGAGAAGGGAGGGAAAGATCTTAGGGGGGGGAAGGGAGGGAAAGATCTTAGGGGGGAGAAGGGAGGGAAAGAACTTAGGGGGGGGGGAGAAGGGAGGGAAAGAACTTAGGAGGGGAAGGGATCTTGTTTTTTGGAGCTGGAGATCTTAGCAGAAGTTCCCTGGCTCTGCTCCACTTCCGGAACCCCCGGAACCGAAAACGTCGCAGATCCGAACCCCGGAGCCCAAGGGGCAAAGACCCAGCCGAAGGGCCGAAGGGCAACCAAAACAGGTGGAAACAACGCCAACAAAAACCAACCAAACCCCAACAATTCCAACAAAAACACAAAACAACAGAAAAAAAAAAAAAAAAAAAAAAAAAAAAAAAACACCAGTTGAAACAACCCCAACAAGAGGAAATCTCAGGATGTTCCTGTCCAAGGAACACTTTCCCCCTAACCAAAGGATCCAAGTACTTGGTAAGGATGTACTCTGATGTACTTTGACCCATTTCCACCACCTGAAGTACATTCTTAGAAGGGACTAAAGGGATCCTTTGGTCCCCCATTCTGAGAAGTCACAGGACTTCCGGGTAAAACAAATACCAACAAGGTAAACAAATGGTAAACATACCGACAACATGTTCCTGAAATACCAACAAGGTAAAATAAACACAAAGAAGCACACACAAACACGACTTAAAGGGGCAGGGTACATAGTAATTGGTTAGTAAGCCTGGTTCTAACCCACTTCGGAGACTTATCATCATGGTAAAGTGGGTTTTGACCACGGCTATTAAATAAATTACCCACCTCCCAAGTACCCTGCCCCTTTATAAGTACCTGAAGTCTCCTTCTGACCCCAAAAAGATGGTTGGTCATTGCCCAAAATACTGGGGTCATTGACCCATTTTTGGAGGGTCAGAAGGAGAGTCCAGGTACACTCCCTCAGGCCAACATGGAAGCTTCCACAAGGCCTCTGTTCCTGGAACCAAGTCTTCCAGACAGGTCTTGGGAGCTTCCAGGCTAGCCTGGGGGAGGTCTCCGTCCCCGCAAACCGAGTCCACCGAGTCCATCGCTCCGAACAGCGTCGAGTGGCGACAAACATCCGGCGCCCATGGCAGAGGAGACCAGCGTGAAGACCGCAGAGCCCAGCGAGCCCTGGCGCTCGACTCGACGCTTTTCGAAGCCGTGAGAAGGGGACCAACCCCAGTTGAGTCATAATCAAAACCCGGTGCAAAAATGGTCGTAATCCCAGAACCATGTAAAGAACTAAGAAGGCGGCCGCAGCTATTTATGGTTGGGATCGTCCCTTACTAACCTTCATCTACACGGGTTTTGATTGTGGCTCAGTTACCCTACTGGCCCTATAGTCATACCCTGGTTATAGCCTGCTTCAGTTGGTCAATCGGGTGCCAACCAGTTTCCCTATATCCATCTTTCATGTGCGTTGGTTTACCCTATATACTGGCCCGATAGTCATAACCGTGGTTATAGCCTGCTAAAGTTGGTTAGTTTCCCTATAGTTACAACCATCTTCCATGTGCGTTCTTGTCTGGAAGAAACATGCCCAGTGCTAGATTCCTGTCACAAAACTAACAGGGGAAATAAACCATTATCTTGAACAAATGGATGGATATAGCCTACTTGCCTGATGTTGGTTCAACATCCAAGTAGAGACAGTACTTGTATGTTCGTTGCCAAGCTAGTAAGTTGTTGCTAGCCGTTTGGTTGTAACTCGCTTATAAGTTCCCCTGTTCAGTGGAGTTGACCCCAGGTGGCCAGCCACTTACTAACTTGGCCGAACCTCCAAGTAGGGCAACTAAATTTGGTTTCCCTGTAGGGTTTCCTACAAGTGTGTTGTTTACGGGGGTGTTTCGCGGGTCATGTTGGGGTCGTTCCCTTTAAGGGAAAAGGGTGCTTTGCAAACAACGGCTCTACATGTTCCTCTTTTGGGCACCAACGCATCACCTTTGTAAGCCTTGCCTGTTTGAGTTGTCACTTGCTGGATAGTTTAAAGGGAACATTTGTAGGAAACCTATTCACAGCAACTACTGATGTTCCATGATGCAACCTGTACAGTGATTTCAAGCTCTGATATGGGCCAGCCTTAAGCGATTTGAATAGCGGACCTCCAAAATGGTTGGCTTTTCCCGCTGGATTCTCTTTGAAGCAACCCCAGCACCCTCACAACAAGACAGCAAGACATAAGAGGGCCAGCTCACAGTCCGAGATCCCAGTGAGGGGCCAAGTTGGTTGAAGCAACTGAGTTACAACCTCGACGGGGGAAACAAAAGGAAACCAAAACCAAACAAGGAATCGGTTGCTGTGAGAAGAATCTCGTATGTAACCCCCTTCTTTGCGTTCCATGTTGATGGGGGGAAATTCAAAACTGAAGTTAAGAACTTCCCTCCCCCGTGCAGAGGACCATCATGGGTAAAATCGCGCGTTTCACCGCTGGATCTTTGCAACATCAGTTCAATTTGGGCTTCTCGCAGCTTCTATTTCTGGCTGGGATCGCCCTAGACAAAGCCCAAACTGTGCTTTGCCAAGGTGACTATCAAGCAAAAAAGAAAAAACACCCGCCCTAGATCGGCCAGCCAACTGAGATGTCGGCTTTGGCTTTCATCGAAGTGTGCCCCAATTTCCGAACTGGGGGGTCACTGGCTTCCGCCCTTCAAATGTGTATTTGTCTGGTGGCAAAAAGGAAATTGAGGAGCAGCTGGAAGTTGAAAATACTAACACAAAATTTGAGGAAAATAATGTCTTTCTTTGCGCACAGTGTCTTATCGACGCAGCGCACCAAGGAAAGCTGCTAGAGCCTACCGGATATCAGGAAGTCCCAAGTAAGGGATCTGGGCAAAATGGCTGGCTTTACCCTTTCGTTGAGCTTGGTTTGCATTCCCCCTAGTTGCCAAGCGATACTCCTGACTGTTCACCTTTTGGGAACAGGCAACGTTGAGTTTGCAATTCGCTGCTTTGCTTCCATACAATTCCCTGGCACAACTTTCGGCTTGGCTGAAACATGATTGAACACCCATGATTCAAACCTCCTATTGAACACCGAAAGCCAATTCTTCCCAACCCTCACCGAATTTTCGCGGAAGCGGAAGTGGCCTCCTTGAGGAGGGAGAAGTTGCTCTGCGAGAGGCCAACAGCCCTGGGCTTCAAACCCTCCGTCCGGAATATTCGGAGCTTTTGGGACCAAGTGCTTTTTTTGAGGGGACCATTTTGAGGGGACCATTTTTGAGGGGACCATTTTGAGCCTATCATGGTTTTAATACTCTGGATGGACAAAATCCATTTCGCACCACCTAAGAAACCCTGGTTTCTGTTGATTCCCCTGCAAATACCAACAAACGTGGTGGTTTCAACTCCATGGCAACTCATTTCGTGCAGAAGTTTGCAAACATCCATAGAACTTCCAGTACCTCTGGGATCATTTTTCGGGCTCGGGACATGAAACATGGACCCACCCATGTTTCACTGACAAGTAGGGTCGTCCCAAAAAGGACAAAACTCGTCACCCAACGGACTGGACGCAGAGCCAAGGCTCTCTTCGCGGATCGTATTCAATGCCTCCAGGTCCAGCTGGTTCCTCCCGAGGCTTCGGATGACTTCGGACATCGGAGACCCATAGACCAAAGGCAAAAAAACGGCCACACAAGCCGGGGCTGCCCGTTTTCAGATCCCCCGCTAAAAGTGACTAACAAGAAGTGGGTTAAATGGAAACTACCACTAAAAGACTAAAAAGCTAAAAGGCTGAGGGGATGGCTGGGAGCCACCAGGAAACAGCTTGGAAAGCTTCGACGCCCAAGCAAAAGAAACGAGAGTCTGTTTTTTTGCGTATGGTTCTGTTTTGACGATAACATCAAGAGAACTGGGATCGAAAGCGAGCCGCTGTTTTCGTTGTATTGTTCGGACCCAAAAACCACAAGGCCAACAAGGGGTTCGGATAAACTGTCCATTTCTGTTTAATTTGTTCCTCGCATTTGATAGACATCATTGCCATGGCGATCTATGTCTACCAACCAATTTTGAGGATGTTCCCCATCAAATTTGTTGCAAAAAGAAATAGAAACAGGTTCAAAAGACACAGATTGGTGTTGTGGGAAATCTGGGCGGGCCCCCCGAAAACTCCTTCCCAAACAAGCAGAGTCATTCTGAGAGGTCCTCATGTTTTGCAAGCCCCTAGTCCTGCTGCACTGGCGCATGTTCTTCTTGATAAGCCGCGGGACCTGTAGCAAACGAACCTACTGGTGTGGTGCGGATTTTGTCCATCCGCAGTTCAACTGCTGGATGTAATTTTAACAGGGACTTCCGCCAAAAGGCGGCTCGAGAAATTTGCACGGACCCTTACACCGACCATTTTATAGAACCATGGGGCTGTTTTCGAGCCATGGTTGAGAAGCGGCGCCTGCTGACAACACAACCCAGACATAGCCATGGGTCAAAATCCCGTACCCCCAGTGAACATCCGAATCTAACCACTAAAATAGGTCCTAAAATGGGTGGTGAATTCACTGATTTCCCCAAAAATGGGATCCCAAAACGGTTTTGACCCACAGCCACACAGGTTGAAGTGCAAAACAGAAAGTCGTTCGAGAACAATGACGTACCCCGAGGCACTTCTCCCAGTCCCCAACTTGGCAAAAGTTGTTTCGGGTGAAGTGGGGAGATGGTTAAGAAATGGGGACCCCCCTTGGGTTTCCTTTGAGTATCCTACCAGTAAAGGCAAATGGTGGAAATCTCCCAAGATAGGCGAATCGTAAAAGTTGATTGGAATTCACCCCCCCCCCCTGTAGGGTTCCCAAATAATTCTATGTTCAGAGTGGATTAGTCATCAAGTCCTTGGATTGTTTGCCAAGCAGACAAATGTATCAAGCAACAAATCGCCAAACTAGGGAAGTGCGCATTCCAAGCAGACCGGTTGGCAGTGTGAACCCAGCTCGGTTGCTTTCTGCTCCCCTGCTAAAAGCTTAACGTTTAGTGGTTTAATGGAAAACCCATTAGTAATTAGCAAAAAGTTAAAGTCCTAACATCCAAGCAAAATGCACCAAAGCCAGCATTCGTGAACCCCTGCTTGACCATTGGGGTGTCCCCTTTTTGGGGTTGCCGCCGCTGGGGTGTCACACCTTTACTTATTCTGCAAACCAGCTCGGGGGTGTTGGCCCAAGCGTGATTTGACAGTCAAGGGTCCGAGTGCCTTGTGAGGATGCACTTTGATCCGTTTTGGCACCCCTAAATCAATCCGTAGAAAGTAGCAAGGGATCTTACAGCAAAGGATGCATTAGTAAAGGACCTAGATATGCTTGGAATCATCCACCAGGTGAATGAAGGGTTTGCAAATGAATCCCTTAAACACTACCAAGCGAAACTCAGCTGGCCAAAAAGGCAATGTTGCAAACCACCAGTGAAAACTCACTTCCGAAGAAGATGTGAGTTAAGAATAGTCCAAACTGTATATTTCCCACTAACATAAGGGGACCTCTTTTGTCTTCTCAAGCTGATTTCATGTGACAGAGAAGACCTGAGGAACAATCGAAAACGATCGGCTTTGATTCACCGGATCTTCCTTTGCAACCGAACTGCAATCCACCTCCCGGAAGAGCCTGACCAAGTCAATCCGCAGCTTAACATAAATGAACCCCCCAAAACCACAAAAAGGCAGCTGAACAGGAATCTCCTTTTGAGGCCTCCCCCCCCCTTTCTTGCCTTCCTCCCGCCAGTCTTGCTATCTCCTTGCAGGGTTCCATCAGCAAATCGAAACAAAAAAAACGTCGACTCCAGCCATTCTAGCGGCCACCGACTGCACGGGAGTAGAGAAGTCCAGCCAAAGCCACTTCCTCGTCTCAGAGGCCGACGCGACTCGGTAGGTTCAGCGTCTTAAACTGGGTCCCTGAGTAGAGAGATGATAGAACAACGGTACCCAATTTTTTCTGTAGTCTATTTTAGTAGGGGAACCCGCCCCCAAAACAGGGTTACCAGGGCACTACTGGGGGACCTAGTAAATATTGCATCCAGGGATCCGGACTGTGGTAAGGTTCAAGCATTACAGGGCTCATGACCTAAGAATTTGGGTCTACATGAATGGAAGTTCTACAAATGGGCTCCGAAATCAGATGTCCCTAACCCAGGTCTGAGGTCTTGCATATCGTTCCAGGCATGCAGGTTTCGTGCCACTTATGCAAATGTACAATGTATCGCAGGAACATATGCCAGGGAAACTCTAAGCTGGAATAAGAGAGATCCCTAAGGATCTTGATGCATGAGCTCGTCTTGACCCCCAGGTGGGCTCGTTGTAATACGGGCAGAATGATTCACCAACCGGAAACAAAAACAGAAAAAGAAAAAAGGAATCCCCAAAGGAGGGTCACAAACTCCCGAAATGTGAGCTTGCGACTTCAATAATTATTCGGGATGGATTTGGATTTCCCTGTGATTCCAGTTGCTGTCAGCCGCCTTAAGCCTTTACGGGGCAGGCCAGAACTGTTGGCAAAGCCCGGCGGGTTGTTGGACATTCAATCTACCCGACTAGCCGGAGAAAGTGCCCCCACAAACAAACAAACAAACAAACAAGCAAACAAGCAAACAAGCAACACAGGCAAACAAAACAAACACATAAAGAGTGGCTCTTTAAACATACCGAGCAAGAAACTTGCGCGCACACACACACAGCGAGAACTGTATCAAAGAGTATCTTGTTGCTTGGATCCGGCCAGCGAACATGGACAAACACATTTGGGCGAGTCGTGCATGGCCAAAAAGAAGGCATCGCGCGGTCAAAGCTGGCGAGCCATCGGCCCAAGACGTGTGTTCGACGGTTACATGATCAAAATGGTGAGCCAAGTCTGGCGACCCAAACTGAGCAAAGTAGCTCCCTTCTGGTTGGTTGATAAGAAACCCAAAGACATCTATTTGAACACACAAACACAAACAGAAACACAAACAAGTATATAATATGTATATATATATATATGTATAAATAAATATATTGTTTCTTTCCCGCCAGGCCGCCATAGCTCGGTGTGGCACACTGAGTCATACTCTCGGAGCAGGGGCTTGCTGTGGCTCCTTGCATTAAAAAAAAAAACACATCAAAGGAAGGGCTTGGTGTAGCTTCATGGCATATCAGCTATGCATTATCTTGCCCTCGTCATAAGCTTTATTTACTAGTACCTCGCATCTAGTCAGATCACTTGTCTCTTTAAGTCCCAGACCTGTTGTGGAGTTCCGCAAGGAAGAACGGCGTGGCTCTTGTTGGGCTGATTTTCAGAACAAAAGAGAGCAAAGGCGGCGCCGTCTTTTCGCCTCCCAAGAGCAAATGATGACAACATCCTCACCAACCAGGCTTGTTAAAACCAACAAATGCGAAAGCCCTCCTCAAGTCTGGGCCACCCAACCTGCCTTAGGGACAGAACCCATCCGGGTCCCCTTTGCAAGACTGGGGGATCGACAGGTCACTCAAGAATGGCAGCGCATGACATGGCACATTGCAGCTGTCCGTGATACTCTGGACGGGCAAATACCTTGACCACTTGGGATGGATGGAACAAGCCACCTACGAACTGGTATCTCTATCCTGAGTATCTGTGCAACGGTCATACGCGGGGTTGGCCAAATTGGGGAGGCCCTTTCGGGAGATCATGCAGGCGGAACAATCTCAAGGACCCGATTCCCATCTGGCTTCAGCGAATACCCCTGGCTCGTCAGCAACAAAAACCATGACGAGTTTGCAGCTAAACATGACCACAACCAAGAACAAACATAATTCCCCTGGCCGTGTACAGAAAAGCAAGACCTAACGAAAACGGGAACAAGACTAAACATGAACACAGGGTCATAGCACACCTCTCTTCGGGAGGCTCATAGCTCGAATCCTGGAAGAATAGACAAAGCAAGACAGCAAAGGAAATCAACTGTCTGCCAAGAAGAGACAAGTACAAACTGCGTATCGACAACCCGGGAATCAAGCCAGCCAACAACAACAAGTGTTGAACAACATCCCAACATTCTGGACATGCTCACCCTGGCAAGCATTCAACCTGGCAAACGAGTAAAGAATCCTGTAAAAAAATGGGACACGTCCTCTTCGGTCCACAGAGAATCTGACTGAGGGATGCTGGATGATTTTCCTTTCAAAGGGACCATTTCTCTGGTGAGTTCCGTGTCGGTGGACTGGGTAATTTGGGGTTCTGAAGAGCCTGCTCCAAAGCCCCGGGTAGAAACCTTACTGGAAACTGAGAAAAGGACCCAATACTGGGCGGTCCAAAAACAATTCCCCCGCGAAAAGTTGTTGACCTAAAGGTGGGCCAAATTCGAAGAACCCCACTAAACCCTCAAGACTGGAAACCTAAGGAGATGGATGGGAAGCAAGATCATCTTGGAATCTTGTTCCGTCTAGGCGTTCTCGGGTTCCAGAAGAATTCCCATGGGTTCGCTGGAGATACCCGTGGGCGTATAGTTGATTTTGTTGGGGTGCTTCCAGTCCATTGCAAAACAAATCACCAAGAGGAAGCCAGCTGGTTTGGCTCCCGGCCCAAAACGAGATACAGAAACTGCCGCAGGGCTGCACCTGGAATACATGGTCGCCTGAAACCAAGGGGTTCATTTCCCAACAGAAGAAGCCGTAGCCGAAAACTTCCTGGTGCTCAGCAGGGGACGAAGGAACAAACTCGGGGATTCCCTGAAAGGGAACCAACTCTGGGATGGTTTTCCTCGGGGTCATTTCTAGGGGTAACTTCCCCATTCTTGACGCAGGGATCCGGATCTTTCTAAAAACCCAAAACCACTGAGGAGATAGCTGGTTTTTGAAAAGAACGATGGCTGAAAAGAATGGAAACGGAATCCACCCCTGGATCATTCCCTGCATCTCTCGCAGCAGCAAGAAAAGTGGAACCCAGCACAAGGGCTTCAAATTCTGCTCCTGGGAGGGGTGCTGGCGCAGCTGGAGCTGCCGGAGGGGCTTCTCGTGGCCTCGCTGATCTCCCGCCCCTGGCACGGGCTGAACTCGGTTCCAAATGAAACACAGTGAATCCGTTAAGGGAGTCTTTGGAATCTTCTAGGCCTTATTGGCCTTATTGGCGTTTCATGATTTATTTAGGCTTATTTGGGCTCTTTTGGGCTTATTTGGGCTCCCTCACCCTCCCCTCCCCCAGCCCCCATGACTTTGGAAGGTTCTGGGCCTTGTTGGTCCTTAAATGGTTCCTACACTGATAACCACCATCAGGTTGCAATGTCTCCGATTGCTATCCTCCGTAATATGTGAACACCAAACATGGTGTGGCGCTTTTGCTTTCCGGTGGCGCCGTTTTCATACGCGGCCTTAAATAGAAGCGCTGCCTTAACCTTTGCTTTGACCCATGAGGGGGTGCACCAATGTAACAAGTGTTGATTGCGCAAACTGCCTTTTGTCTCCTTACACACAATATGCAAGCAACAAGGCAGCCATGTGCAAGTTGCAGCCACCGCATTTCCTGCGCATGCCGACGGCAAATCTGCTTCAAACTGGGTATGATGCAGCCCGTATACATGAATTGCGTTTGTTCCATGCCTCCACTGCTTCTGTGTCTTCAACGGAGCTAGCTGCAGCAATCTGGTTTTGCTTGCATGCACGGTTCAATGGTCAGTTGTACGTATTAACGCATCCAACCACTGCGAGTTCGTGCTATTATTAGCATCACTGCGCGAAGCAGACTCATCCAGCGATTAAAATCCCAGCCCCCCCTCCAAACCCAAAAAATATTGAGACTCTTCATCTACGCGAGTTTTGGTGACCCGCTCTCAATGCCCGGCTCGCGAAGGGCGTTTTGGGTTACATGGGGCCAGACCCAGTCACCCAAGGGCATCGCGGACCAGAGTCGGTCAAGCCAAATCGGACTCGGCTCGCATCTGGTGGTTTTTGTTGTCTATCGCTCAGGTCTCCCTGACACATATCAAACACTTACAGACATCTGGCGGTTTGTAGCCGACCCGCAAAACAACGGATCCAGCTATCTGGTGGTTTTCGTGAGAGCTGTGCGCACCTCGAGCTTCAGCATGTCGTAGGATTGAGCCCAGCGGCTCTCTTCGAGAGCCCTCAGCAAAAGCATCGCATGGCTCTGGATTCGGAAATCCACGGGGCGTCCTCACTGCCGGGTTCCGTGTGTGGAACCTCAAGAAAACCAGGGTGGGGCCCAAAAGAGGCGGGTTTCTTGAGGTTGTGCAAATGTGGGAAGGGTAATATTGGACATTCCAAAGAACACTTGCCACATTATTTTCACGCATCGTTATTTCTAAAACAAGGAAAGAAGAACACAATTTCCCTGGGACGTTGGCGATGTTCTGCCATCTTCGCCAGAAAAGAAGAAGTCAACCAACCGGTGGCGCTCACCTGCGACAAAGCTGACCTGTAGGAACCTTGATGACAAATCAGCAAACATGGAACCAAGCATGTGGTCAAAAGGTGCATTCCGACAGATTGAGCTCAGTTGAAGTACTGAGGAAGGTCCCTGTCCCCCCCATGGCATCAACAATCGCCCGAGCCCACAGAAAGCTAAAACCCATCAGATCTCACACCTCTGGGCCTCGAGACCGGCGGTAGACGGGATCCTTTGCAGCGCCAATGCTCTCCCGAATGGGTTCCTGGCACTCCTCGCTTTGCTCCAAAAAGCAAAGAAAAAGCTTGGTAACACGCTGACGCTGGTGGGCTGGAAAGGGAGAGCACAAGGACTCAATACCATGTTTATCGCCTTGTGGTTTGATAATCTCTTCTTGGGGCACACAAAGAAAAACATACATATGTTCAGATCCTTCTCCATATTGAGTGCGCCCTTCAACACAAATGTAGTTTGGGGTCGGAGACCCCCAGTAGAAATGGCTCGAATCGATCAACCTCGGGGTGGGCCCCTGATATCGGCCGCCCCCGAATTTCTACCAACCACAGGCCGGAAAGGAATCTCGTAGAACCTGGGCAATCTGAAAGTTGCCAAGGGGCCGGCAGTACATGGCGATCACCAACTTGAGACCAGCGAGATGTGAGGCTTGACTAGGATCTCAACTGGTGCGATGTCCTGAGTGGCTCAAACTGAAAATCGGACACCCACAAGAAAAGCACGGTTTTCATACTGTGGATGGGCGCAATCCATTTCGCACCACCAAGAAGCCTGGAATGATCCGAGTATCGCTGTAGAATACCATCCAGCAATATATGGTTTCAACCATGGATTCAAAGCGTCCATTTGCTTAAGTCCCCTGGAAAAGTAAATGTTTCGTCCAGTAGTCAGTGGTTTTGGCTATGTGTGCGGCTATAGTTATGGTTTTGTGGTTATGGTTGTGGTTATGGTTATGGTTGTGGTTTTGCCTATGGTTTTGCCTATGGTTGTGGTTTTGCCTATGGTTTTGCCTATGGTTGTGGTTATGGTTTTGGCTTCCTAGTTGGCTTCTCTTTTCGCGTTTTTCCTTTGGGCCTTCGGCTTCCCTTGTGGCCTTCCAGCTCCAAAAGGGCACCGCGAGCCTCAAAAAGGGACTGCCCCGGCTTCGAACAAGGCGACACTGGGTACCACCCGTTTTTGTTGTTTTTTCTCCTCAATCTTTTTCCCTGGGGGCAGTTCAAGCCGTTTCACCATGTCATGCGGAAAGTGGTTGCACACCACTTGGCAGCGTCTGCTTGTTCAGGCCTTGCGTCCAAAGAAAGCGCCACATCGCGAGGTGCCTTATGCCCCACTCATCAACACGGTTTTGTGTGCAACCCCCGGTTTTGGCAGCCCTGAGTCCTCGGAAGGGCGTTCACTGCCAGTTGGGTGTGGTTCTCAAAATTGAACAGGAGGGGAAACCCGCAGGGTTTGGCAACCATGTTTCCACTCACCAGGTTCCATTTTGGTACCGGTTTTTTGAGCCACAGCCAGTTGGGTTGACCACAGATTTGGGATGTGAGTTGCAGTCCTTTGATCAGTTGGAAGCTTCAAGGGGAAAGAGCCTTCGTGCTGAAATTGTTCAGAGGGTCCCAAACTGCACTTCGTATTTGTGGTTTTGGGTTTGGTGCAATTCGTCAATTATAGATTCCTCAAATAGCAACTATGAGGTAGCAAGGGACCCTCAGGGATGGAAATGGACTCGCGTGTAACCCGCGGGCTACGAATGTTCAACGGAGAGGCTGCTTTCAAACTTGAAAGCGAGAGGAAAGATGGGGAAACCACCCGCAAACCACCCCCTCCAAAATGTGGGGTTCTACGACATGGACATGAAAATTGATTGGGGAGCCCTTGGTGGACAGCACGTAGGTGGGGATGTTTGTCCACCAACTATTTGGGAGGATGTTCCCCACTAAAACCTCATAGGCATAATGTTGATCCCGGATTAATCAACCGGTTTATTGTTACGGGGGTGCTCACCTCCAATAGTGATGACTCTCCACTAAAACAGGGGCGCCCCCTATTAATCAACCAGGGTTTTTTTCTAATCGGCTCGAAAAAACAGTACCCAAATGGAACCCTGGTAAAGTGGAAACATGGATCAAAACCTGCGTAACCCCAGCTGTTAAATTTGAGGCAAATGCATATGTGACAAACATATTCACCCGTTTCTTGCAGTCAAGGCTCTGGTGTCTGAGCGTCTAGTCTAGGCTCTGGTGGCGCTCTTGAGCAGAACGGATCCGGCTGCCAAGAAAAAAAAGGAACACGTCCACGCGCAAGGATCATGAGGTTGCCCATCTTTTGCATGTGTTGTTTTTGTTGCTACTCGGTTGATTTCTGCTCCCCTGCTAAAAGTGAATAACTTTTAGTGGTTTAATACGGAAAACCCATTAGTTGGCAAAAAGTTAAAGTCCTAACATCCAAGCAACATGCACCAGAGATTAGTATCATGTGTTTCCTGTGCTGGTGGTTTCCCAATTGCCAATTCACTGCAGCATAGTTGTTTCAAAGACTTCCGCAAAAACCTTCCAACTGAAAATAACGTACATTGGGCAAAGTGCTACCGGAAAGGGCCTAGGAAAGCCTGCCATGAACAAACCTTGCCAATCACTCTTGCAGGATATCAGAGGGTGGCACTTTTGCCACCGTGTCACCATTGAATCCCTTCAAATTGAGCTGATATTGCGCAACGACTTCCAAGGAAAAACCCTTCTTTGAAGGGAGATTTCATTGTACCATCCTCGAGGATTTTCCAATTCATTTGCTAGGTCCTCCAGCAAGAAGTTAGAATAAGGGTACCAACTTGTTTCTGTCTATTTTAGTAGGGGAACCCTCCCAACCAACAAAGGGGTGAGTGCTCGGGCACCTAGCAGAGGGACCAAGATTTGTGTCCAATGTTGGTCGAAAAGGGACGAAGGCCGCCTGACCATGGCGCTGAGCCATCGTCTGCATATGGCCATGGGGCAACACCAATGGGACCCCATTTTGGGATAGAACCTATTTTAGAACCTATTTGTGTGGAGATTGGGATGTTCACTGGGGGTACGAGGTTTTGACGGCCATATCTGCAACGGTGAAGCTCACAGGACGAGTCCCGAGCATTGGGGGGCGCCTGACTCAAACCAGAAAGCCATGGCCGGGCGGCGGAAAAAGACATCCACCAACAATCAAGCAACCGAACAACCATCAAAACAACAAGCAAACCAACAAACAGACAGACGGACGGACGGACAGGCAAACAAGCAACCAACCAATACTCCAGCAGCGGCCTTTCCCAAACTACTGGGTCCATTAAAGTGAATGTTTTGAGAGCTTCTCAAAGTTACTTTTAAACCACAAAGAAGAGATAATACTGAGAATGTCACTTTCATGGACCGCAAACCACCCCCCCCAAAGACCCCCCAGCACTTAGGGGTCAATATTTTCAGGATTCCCGGCACCAAATAAGGCCTTGGGTGTGGTCTTTCGGGTGTGTGGGGCTGGAAAAAACATACGTATCCAGAAGACTTGGGACAGACTGGATTTCAGGATTCCCGGAATCAATAGCTAGTGGGTCTCGCTGAAACTGCCACTTGTGCAGGTCACCACTCAATTCTGAGGGCCCCGACGCTCTTCCACTTGATCACTTCCGCAGTCTGGAGCTTTCCAGCCTGCACAGGCAAAACCCAGGCGAGCGGCTGCAAATCCCATGACTTGGAGGTACTGGTTTGGTTGGTAGTGGCGTGAACTGCACGGAAGCTATGTCTTGAAAAAAAGAGGTTTCTGGAGTTGATTGTGTTGAAGGGAAACCGGGAAACCAGCATAACAATTACAGCTACCGATCAAGCCGCCCAAGTGTTCCTTCCGAGCTTCTCAACTTGAACCAGACCCCCCCCTACCCAGGAAGATGCCGAGGAAACACACAGCAGGATTCATGCCGCCAACGCACCCGCGCGATCGCCCCGCGAAAAGCGCGACGCCCAACACGCGCGCAACGCGCTCGCGACGAAGGCCTTGCGGTTCAGCATGGTGAGCAGCACGTCCCGGGCGTTGGCCTCCATGCCATCAAAGTTGGCGAGGGGACTCTTCAGCACCCAGTTCCCTGGGCCAAGGCCACGTCAAGCTGTCCGATCTTGCAACTGGCGAACCCAAAGCAAAAGGAGAAAACGGCACAAGGCTTTTGAGTCAAACATTTGCGCGATCGATTTGTCCCCTGAAGTGGGTTCCACTGAGCCAGTGGAATGCCGTTGGGGATGTCTGATTTCGATTGATGTCCGGCTTTGCAAAGGGCGAGCTGGGAGCGTGAACACGCACCCGGCGCCGAGCCTAAAGCGGGGGCCGGGGTGGAGCCTGGCTTCCTTCAGATCTTCCAGGCAAAAAGTCGCTTCCGATCCACGAAAACCGGCAGTTGCGAGAACGGCTTCCTGGATCTTTCCTTCGCCGATACACCCTCTATACCCTCTCCAGCGTGCTGAAGCCGGTGAGGGGGAGGGGAGTGGCGAGATTGTGCACCGCAAATTCACGCTCCACGGGAACAACGCATGCAGCTTTGTGCGGATCCCGGACAGCGACTTTTTTCGGCAAAACTAGAATGGCTTCGCGCCAAATGTTGAATGCGTAGCGAGCTGCATCGCTCTTGTGTTGTACAGCTCTTGTTCTTGCTCTGTCGGCCTTTCGCCAATTTTGCCCCAACGCTGCATCGCGGAAGGTGTGTCAGTTAAGAGGTACTATCCTGTACGGGGCACCCTCCCTTTGCAATGCAGAAGAGAATGAGGCCAGCGCCCCCGACACCATGAGGACGACTATGCGAGCGCTCAAACTGTAGCAGATAAGAGGTAAGTCCATGTCGTGGCCAGCAGGGTATACGAAGCCAATTTGAATAGCTTCCGGACGTCTGATATGCGCGTGGGGGGCGACGGAACGTCTCCGCTGCATACGACTTCTGAGAACCTTCAGGCTTCACTTCACCTGACTTCCTGTCCCCAAACGTGGGGCGTTGAAGAGATATCCTGAAGTTTACCCTCCTAATTCCTGATGGTGGACCGGGTTCCCCCTCCAACGAAAGCTGAACAAAGGAAAGCAACTCTTTGCTGGTTGACTTTGACTAGGTCCTCCAGTAGAGAGGTTAGAACATTCTGTATATTTATTTTAGTAGGGGAACCCTCCCCCAAGAAAGGGGAGAGAAGGGCACTACTGGGGAACCTAGTTGATGTAAACCCTCCAAGAAAAAACGGAGAAAACAGAGGCAACACCAGCCACAGGTCCGGGGCGCCGCAGACCAGCACCCCGCAGTCCTTGAGCATTGCAAGCAACGCCTCCTCCGTCTTCCCCCGCAAAGTGCTCTGCGGCAGCCTGAGTCACTTTCGAGGTGGGCAACAACTTGAGGAGCGGGTGAACGAAAGCTAGCAGTTGCTGCATGAGATGGGTCGGTGACAGAGTGGATTCATAGGTAGCTTGTGTACAACGAGAGGCCCGGCAAGATTCGTAGGATGCGACACGCAAACGCACATGGTGGCGTGGCAAACCTTGAAAACTGAAAACAACGAGAGGCGTCAGAAGCTGTCTTAAAGCACCTCTGGGTTCTGCATGCAGCGTGTGCAAAGATTCTTGCGAGGTGGTTTACCGAGAAGACTGAGGTCTCAAATGAACAAGCTGAATCGGTGGAACATGTAAAAGTTCGTAGCACCAAGTCCAAAACGGGCAAACCGAGACTGCTGAACACTGAGCCACTGCCCGGGGGGGGGGGATGGACCAGGGAGGAATCGAGCCTGAGACCCGGGGGGGGGGGAGGGGGGGGGGTCTAAATAATTGATGTTTTTCAATCTTTTCGGCTCAAATAATTGAAAAAATCAATCTTTCGGCATTTGAGCCCCTTACCTTGCTTACGCAAGGAGAAACTTCAGCTAGCTAAAGCTAGCTTTCGTGACATGTTGGAATCCCTCACGGGGCTGGGTACAACAAAGGTGGCTAGGTGAGAGCCTTGATGTTCCTCAGGTTCTTTTTAGGGTTCCGTAGCACCGGGGGGGGGGGGGTTCCGTAGGGCCGGGGGGCTCCTGCCTGCTTGAGGCTTCTTGTTCCGCAGCGGCAAGGGAGGTGTTTTTTTGGGGTTCCGGCGTTCGGCCTTCGATCACCGAAACGGCACCGCTTCTTTTCAAGCGACTTCCAGTGGATGATTGCAGCGGGGTTTTATGGCTTGTCCAACCCAAAAGTTGGGGGGGGGGGGGGGGAATTTGGACCCCCGCCCCCCAAAATGAATCATTTGTTCATTTTATTTTTTTATGAAAAGAAAGGATGGGACAAATCCGGGACGTCCGGACCACTCCTTCCCGACACCTCGCTGCCCCGCCTCTTCCGGAGCTGCGCGAAAGCGGCCACCCCGAAGTGCCGCAAGATGGCCTCCACCTGCCGCTCCGTCGGCATCTTGCTGAGCACGTAGGAGCTGAGCCCCCCCTGGTTCCTCGGTCCATTGGGCGACTTTTATCGGACCTCTGAGGGTCTGAGGGACTGAGGGACTGAGGGTCTGAGGGTCTCGTTTCGAGACCAAGCGCAGGGATGAAACGGGAGCAAAAAGCAACACATGTTTGTGGGTTCAGCCTTCTGGGTATGTTAGATTTAGGGGACCCAACAACTAGTGCCCTTTATTTCGATTTCCCATGAAAAACTTTGCTTCAAAGGGGTACTCTCAAAAAACACACGCACGCATTTGGGTGTGTCTCACATTTGGGTGTGTCTCACAATAAGGGGCCCTCAACATAGGTGGTGTCCCTTTCATTCCCCTTCTCACTTTCTGAGTGGATGGGCCAAAACGAGCAACCAAACCTTTTACTTGCCACTGGTCCAAACCCACCAGCTCCCGCTGTGAGTTGAACCAACTAAACTGGCCCAAAACCAAAAAAAGGGTATAGTCCCAGAAACTCGGCAAGTGAATTCAACCAACTAACCTCTCCAGCTTTCTGGCTCAGGGCGCAGGGCGGCCTTCTGGCGTTGCTGGCGCAACGCGGCACGCTGCTCCGCCTGCCCGCACATGGCGTGGATGAAGGACTTGCCTCGGCTCGGATGATGACCGACTCCCGAGGCAGCAAAAGGAAGCATGAACCTCCTAATTCGGCATTTTTTACCAGTTGTGTGCGTGAGTATTTGAGTAAACCAACAAAACCGTGGCTAACAAAAATGCAAGTTGCGGGGCGCGGGGTTGAGTATTTGAGCAAACCAACAAAACCATGAAAAATGACAGCAACATGCAAGGGGCCCCTCCAAATGGTAGACAAAGGAAAAAGAAACCACGCTTTGGGCTCCCCGATCTGGAGCTTGTCAGGGTACTCTCTGCTTTGTTTTGCTTTTTCTTTTCTTTTTTTGGGGCGGGGGGGGGGGGGGGCAACCCTACTTTCAGAAACACCTTGTCATGCCAGGGGCGCGGCATCCATCAAATTCAATGCTCCTCGTTCCACTTAAAGACAAAATTAAATTAGTAAACCTATACAACGCACGCCAAGCGGATAGGAACCAAAAATGCAAATGTAGCCCGTTGTTCAAGCCCCCGGCTAATACATCTCAACCTTCACTGACAGCAAACCAGGGTCCGGATGCAAAGATAACAGGAGCGGCACGAGGTGCAGCATCAATGCCACTACCTTGCTTTGCAACGCTCTGCTCAGCGGCGCTTGACAAGCGGCCCGATTCACTCAACCAGGCACGCTGTATGTGCAACTCCGATTAGGTGCAACTCTGATTGCCATACAACATGGCCCTGCTGCTGAGCACACTCTGCAATAGGCTCCTGCGCCCACCGACTCCAATGCATTTGCGGTACACATGCGAAAACCACGAGAACCCAAACCTCGCCTGCCACATCTCGCCCGCTTTACCTAAGGCGGTCCCAAGATTCGGCATGCATCCTCAGGGACCCATGGGGATGCATGTCCCACCACTTTGCAAAGCTCCTACGCATCGCTTACCCCCAAACCAGCGCCGCATTCGCTTAAAATTGGTCCCAGGCGCCGTCTCCATCCAGGTCCAAGGGTTGCAACCTGAGAGAAGGCGAGTTCTTGGAATGGGTTTGAGGCGTAAAACCAGGTTTATACTGGGCTGCACGTTTTCAGATCCCCTAAAAGTGAATAACTTTTAGTGGGTGAAATGGAAACTACCACTAAACACTAAAAAGCTACAAGGCTAAGGGGACGGCTGGGGGCCACCAATACTTTAAAACCAGCTTTGTAGTAAGTATTTAGTTCACTGGAATTAGTTTCTAGAGATAAGGGGTACTTGGAATGGCTTTAAAAACCAGTTTTAGCCCACAATTACAAGAGGAAGATATTGGTAATGATTTCGCCCCATCTCTACAACCACCAGCACCAGCATTGCCACCAGCACCGCCACCCCCCGCCATCATTTGGATGTGAATTCTCATGGGAAACCCATTTGGGTGCCGTTTCTGTCCGCCGTATTCAGGGAGTCCCCAGTTCAAATGCATCGGCACTTTAGTTCAAGGCTACCAGGCCTCGGCGTCTTTTCCTAAAGACGTACTTGCCACGTCTTGCGAGAACAGACTGCAGAATTATGTCCATTTCTCTGGAGCATCCTACCCCACCAGCAGGAGACTTGAAACAACCACTTTCGACATAGAGTTGGACCCCTGCTAATTCAAATAAATAGTCCTCAAGCTGTTGATGGTCCCTCGTGGCCAAGAATGCTTGCTATCAAGGTCTGTTTGTACTTACATGTCCAGCTGGCCGTGAGATAGTGGGTCATAACACTGGCTTTCAGCTTGGCGAATCGAACATCCAAGTACGGAGCACTATGGCTTTGCTACGTGGAACGGGCAGTCTCTGATGATTAATATTGTGTTAAGCCTGGCGGGTCATTATTTCTGGGGTGTCAGAGGATCTGAAGTGGGCGTGTCTCAAATTGTCGCAGAAAACCCCTGGTCTATGCTTATGATCTCCTTTGGGGGGTAGGTTGGGGTGAAACGTAAACCCACTCAGCACCACTTTGTCTGGCAGTGGGCAACGCCCAACACTACGTTGTCGAATTGAAGGAGGTTCCTTTGGTATCACAAACCACTGCCCTAAAACTTACTAGAGGTGAGAGACCCTCAAGTCTTACAGGTTGGCGAGATTCAAGTCGGGCGTAGCCCTAAAACCCAATTGCCCACAACCATGTGAGCCACAGTCAAACTTGTTCCCGAAGGCATGGGAAAATTCGGGCTCGTCCCCTAGCTTGCGTGGGGAATCTTAGAGTGTTCCTCATGTCCCTGCCAGATGAACAACAGACTATTGGAAACTTGGACCGGCAACTGGACCTGGGGTTCCAAATAGGAAACCAGTTGCAGTCATGGTCTGACTTTTTAATTGCCAACTTTTCGGACATCGTTTGACGGGTTCTTTCGCTAGGTCCTCCAGCAGAGAGGTTAGAATAATTTGGCACCCTTTGTTCTGTAGTCTATTTTAGTAGGGGAACCCTCCCCCAAAAAAGGGTAAAAGTTGGCATCTAGCTGGGGGACCTAGTTGGGGTTTTCCCGGCGCAAGGCCACAGACCCACCCAAAAAAACTAGGGGACCTAGTTGGGGTTAGGCCACAGAACCACCCACCTGCACACAATTGCGCCAGCCCCCCGCCATTGAGGGTCCCGGAACCTCCATGTTTGTTTTTTTGCACAGCGACCTCCTAAAGTGGCCACAAGCCGGGAGTTGCTGTACCTGGAGTCTCCTTCTGACCCTTTGGGTCAATGACCCCATTCTTCTTGGATCATGACCAACCATTATTTATTTTCAGGGTCAAAAACAAAATCTCCAGGTCCACTGAATTTGGATCATGACCAACCATCTTTTAAGGGTCAGAAGGAGACCCCAGGTGGCGCGACCGGAGATCGAGATCTCTTCGGCGTAGCGGCTTGGGGTGCTCTGAGCTTTGGCCCTCCATCTCCGCCTCCGCCGCTTCGTTGGCGGCGAAGACCTTGTTTTCGTGCTCGCGAGATCGGGGTGCGGCGATCGCAACCCGGAGGCCATGGAAAAGCAAACACGGATGTTTTAGGCAAAAGAACTCGGTTGCTTTCTGCTCCCCTGCGAAACGTTTAACTTTTAGTGGTTTAATGCAAAACCCATTAGTTGACAAAAAGTTAAAGTCCTAACATCCAAGCAAAATGCCCCCCCAAAAATAAAAGGTAAGCAGGGCAAGGCGTTGGTTTTGTGGAAAGAACTTTGGTGTAAGCGTTTTATTGAATACTGTTTCAGAGCCGGCTTGCCAGGTGGACCTCGCCCCTTGGCCTCCCCTCCAAAGGATAAGATTGGGGTTTTGGCGCAGCAGGAATCCCTTTAAATCCCTTTTCGTTGGGTTTTAACCTCACTGTTGTGGCACATTTCAGGCGACTTCCCTTGGTAGGGGTGGTAGTTTTTAGGGGACATATACATGGTTTATTGGGGAAACACGTAGTTTTGACTGCAGCTCACATTCTTGTTCAAACCAATAACATGTCGTACCGAAATGGCCCTCCAACAGTGCCCACCTTTCCTTCGTTTCTTTGGGGAGAAGGTTGTCGTACGAGGAATCAATCACGAAGGTCAAGTTGAAGGAACCTCAGCCCATCGCTTGCCAATATGGCGATGCCAGTTGTTTGTTCCTGCGTTGTTGTGCCCTTTTGCTGATGGCATTCCCTGCAAAGATGACGCAGAAAGAAGGCCAAGTCCTTGTTCGCATCGTTGTTTGGATGGGCTTCCCTTTTCAGCTGTGTTGTCTCAATATTGGGCAACCCCCAAACTGCTTGAATCTCTTATGGTATGGTGGTCACCCGCCAAAATGGGGAATAACAAACATGCCACATTTAGTCCCTTGGTTGATGGGTTTCTCCTAAAAACCAACCACCAAGCAACACCGCACGCCCCTTTGTTTTCCCCTGGCTACACAAGCCAAAGAACAGGTTATTCTTGGAACGGAAACCAGAGGAACACCACAGGTTCAACCCATTTCCGTTTCACAGCCCCGGCTCTGGTCAGGCAGCGATATGCTGCAAGTAGATGTCCGCAGCTTCCGTGGAGCTCGCGTCGAAGAAGTCCAGGCGCTTCCAGGCGTCCTCCGCATCCGCCATCACCTCCTTCTCTTTGCCATCCTGGCAAGCACAGAACCTGCAAAGGCCCTCCCTAGGTGCAAGGATTTTCAGCCTGGCCTTGAGGGGTTTGAGGTCCCCAGGCGGCCTTGAGGGGTTTCATCGGCTATAGCGCCCCCTCCCCAGTTCGCCGTTGTCTTTGTTTCTTGAGATTCAAATGAAGGACAATCAAACCCCGGTATCAAAATCGTCTACCCAGAACCAGGGTTAAAGAACTACCAAGGCGGACGTCCGCACCCATAAAAACGGCTGGGAGTATCCCTCACTAAACATAATCCACCTCAATTGCAGCTATCAGCTCCACAGAGCCTCCGCTTTCATGTTGCAGCCACTTCATCACAAACAAAAATAGGTACCCTCGGGAACCCCGTGAAGGGTTCATACCCAATTTTGGAGTTCGTACCCTTATACCATGAAAGGGCATAAACACCTGGGTATGAAATATAATTGGTGGACGGACTTCCGTGGGGATTTATATCCGACCACTTTTGAGGAGGTTCCGGAACCAACCATTACAATTCCCATGGCCACCAAAGCAGGGCTCCACTTTTTGACTACCCCAAGATAGACTTAAACCCAGGGTTTCTCCTTTTGGGGGAATGAACCACCCCTGGGTTTAAGTCTACACTTGGGTAGTCAAAAAGTGGAACCCTGCTGTGGGCTGAGAACCAGCTGTGCGATGGCCATGGCGTTTTCCAGTCACCTTACAGCTCCACAAACAATCGGCAAGCGTCAAACGTTGGAATTTGGACTCCCCAAAATAAAATTCCCAAAATGATTGGTTTTCTTTTGGCTTCCCTTCAACCCCCGTCCCCAAAAAAAAAGAAGAAGCCGGCCGCAAAATCATAAGACACACACACACACATGCACCCGGTTTCCGCCTTGTCCCTCACGTACTCCACCCGCAAAGGTGCCATGTCCACCGCCTCCGGCGGCGCATCCTCGGACGCGTCCGAGGCGGCGTCCTTCTCCTTCTCCGGGTCCTGACAAGGAATCTTCGTTGCCCACGTCGGGTGAAGAGAAAATCTTTCCAGGAGTGAAATCGATTCCCTTTAAAACCAACAGGGGAAATTAACAAAAACATATTCTTAACCAAAGGCGTCATAATCCAAACCCGGGATTAAAATGGTCGTAATCCCAGAGCCATGTAAAGAACATGTAAAGACTTAAGCAGGCGGATATCCGGAGCTATCTATGGTTGGGATTATCCCTTACTAACCTTCATCTACCCGGGTTTTGATTGTGGGTCAGGCAAGTATGTTATAGCCCATCGTACAGGGACCAACCTCAGCTATTTACTAAGTTGGTGGAACATCCAAGTGGTCCTCCGTCTCTGGTTGAAAGCCTGGCTAAGAGTAAGTCTGCTTAGGGCAGGGTACGACGAAAGGAAACCACAAGGGATGGTTTGAGGTCATTCCCGCATTCCCTGCCAAGCACAAGCAAGTACAAGGAATCCCAGAACTTCCAAGACGCTTGTAAACTAGGTCTTTATAAAAAGACGGTGTTAACCCAAAAGACGGTGTTTACCCGTGAATGGCCCGTGAATGGCCCGTGAATGGGGTATTTGTTGGCTGAGTGAAGTCAGCTGGGCTCGGAATTGAAAGCACCATCAAAGGTCCGGTGATGCAACATGCATGCCTGCATGCCAAACAATGTACATTGCAGTCAAATATGGCATATTTCCCATGCATGTGACAAGGGAAGCCTTCATGCTAGCTATGCAGCATGCATGGATATGGACATGGATCGAGATTTCCTTGGCCACATGCAAGTATTCCTCTGCTGCGCTGCGTGATCCACGCGATGGCATCAGCATGCGAGAAGTCACAAGCGCAACAACCAAATTCGATGCTTGTAGGCTAGCTGTGCTGTATGGAAATCGCAGACAATATCGATTTATATTTGTATGCTTCACCAATATTGTTGAATCGGCGTAAGCCAACCGTGAATTTTGCGTCAACGACGGAGTTTACCCGTGAAAGACGGAGTTTACCCGTGAAAGACTGAGTTTACCCGTGAAAAAACAAAGTGAATTTGACCCCCCCCCCGATAGATCCAAATACCACAGCCTGCTGATTCTGTCTGCAACAATTACATGGCTATCAAGCCGTTTGCCCAGCTATGTGGTGCGGACTAGATCCTCGGGTGCAAAACTTGGCCGCAAAAATTGGCAAGCACGGACATCAAATCTCGGTCTACTTCTCAGCACGGTGCTAGTGCAAGCCCTGAAGTGTTAATTGTGGTGTGTCCAGCCAGCCAATGGATGATCCTGGTGTGGTGCCTGATAAACGCCCGGCTCCAACACTAAACTACACGTGCGCTTGGCACTATCTTATCGAACAAACAAAAATGTGCACACCATATCAACACCAATTTGGCGCAAAATGCGGTGGTGATGTCTCACTGTGCAGTGGCAGAACAAGAGGTGAACACGTGAGCAGCGTGAATGAGCGTGAAATTTCCCAAGACCATGTTTACTCGCTAAAGACGTATAAAACGCTGCTTACTCATGTCTTTGGATGCCCTGGGGAATGTTTGTTGCCAACGTCAGGTCAGTAGGCTATAGTCTGTGGTACCGGGACCAACCTCAGCTATTTACTAAGTTGGTCGAACATCCAATTGGTCCTCCGTCTCTGGTTAAAAGTCTGGCTATATAAGGGTAAGTCCGCTTAGGGCAGGGTACGACGAAAGGAAACCACAAGGGATGGTTTGAGGTCATTCCCGCATTCCCTGCTAAGCACCAGCAAGTTAAAAGGGCAGGATACAAAGAAAGTGGTTTCGTAAGCCTGGATACCCACTTAGATGCCTTGACCTCCCTCTCTCTCTCTTGACAAACTGCCCAAACCGCGCTAGCAACGCATTAGCAACTCATGCGCTGCCTTCTCGAGTGGCTTTCCCAATCCCGGCGATCGTAATGCCGTAAGGCCGCAAGGGACAGAACGCAACCGACGTCGGCCATTCATGGAGATACCCCTAACCGTGCGCAACCGGCCAGGTCTGAAAAAGCAACAGAGCTCTGTGTCACACTCAGCCTGAACAGCTGAAGGGTGAATTCCCAGTATTCATAGGGTGACCTATCTCTCTATCTCTCCAGGCAGTCTATCCTGTATGAGGGGGTCTATCCCAATATGAAGGGTGGTTGTTTGGAGGGTGGGTGTCTTTACCCACTTTTGCCAGGAAAGGGAGGTTATGTACCACTTATATTCGGGAGTAGGGCGCTTCATACCACTTGTATACAGCTGAAGGGTAAGGTCGATTCTTCCCCGACGACAGCGGATTGGGAAAGTTCAATCCGCCAATCGCATTCTAATATGGTCGCCACTCCCCGAACCACTGAGAAAAACAAACCACAACTACATAACAACTATATTCATAAAGGGTATATATTATCCTACGTGCCGCTGTGTCTTTGACCCATGCAAGTCAAGCAAAAAGAAGAGGGTAAGTCCATTCTTTCGCTGGTTTCCGGGTTTTCGGTCCCAGAATAAAGCAACATGAAAAAACGGGCACCCGCTTCTTGGAGCCCCGGACTGTTTGGGCCCATAAGGCAAACGGGTCAAAAATCACGTCCAGCAAATAGGTTGGGACCTCCCGTCCCTCCTTCCCCTTGGGCTGAACTTGCTGGTTGCAGGATTTTTTGGAGTGGTTTGGATCCTCAAGGAAACCCCACGGGATGGTAGGGGTGAAGCAAGTTCAGCGGGAGGGCTGTGGGGTGGCGTCCCACAAAAGGAAAATCACATGAAAAGGCGAATCCCCCTACCTGGAGGGGGATGTGAGGGGTCGCCAGTTCCTTCTAGAAGAGGGAAAGTGGAACTACTGTGGATGGACGTAATCCTGCACCACTTTGGAAGCAGGGGAACCAATGTTTGTTGGTATTTGTATGGGAATAATCATTCCAGGGCTTCTTAGGTGGTGCAGGAATTTGTCCATCCACAGTATGAATGGAAAAAGGAGGCACCCCCTTCAAGGGGGTGGGGTGCTCCTGTGACAGGCTGGCCAAGAACACGATACCAAAATGGGCCATCCTCGTGACTACTTCATCACGTTGCAGGGGATTCACTTATGTCAGAAATGGCCCTTGCCAAGAATCATAGTCCCCTTTCAAATACTATTTCCTCCAACATGAGATGGGGTAAAACCATTGCTTTTTCGCGGGAATTGGGAATTTCTCCGTCCAACCAGAAATGGAACCAAATGTAAGCTTTAGGGTGGCTTTAGGGTTGGTTTAGGTTGGTTTAGGGTTAGTTTAGGCTTGGTTTAGGGTTGGTTTGGGGTTGGTTTGGGGTGGGTGTAGGCGGTTTCTTCGGATCCAACCTCCCCCCTTTCGCATCCTGCGTGGATGCCACCGCGGCAGCGGCACCCGAGGCCGAGCTTTTGGTTCGGAGCCTTTGCGGAGACTTAGGTGCCACATGGGTGAGACCAGCAGTCAACAAGGGGTTCAGAGGCAAGCCACCTGTCTGGAAGAGAAGACCAACTCGAAAATTGAAGAGGGGCATGGTTGTGGAAAAGAAGCCTCAAGTGATACCAAAGTGTGACATTCCCGTGGCTAGTCCATCGCTTCAAGGGGGATTCTCTTAGTATTGCAGAAAGTGGCGCTAAAACCCGATATTCCACAATCATGAACACTTGCAAGGTCCATCAAATACATTTTGTCGGGAGTATGTGAATCGCTCAGGCTATACACCCGTCCTAAACCAACCCCGCCAAGCTTGCCAAACCCTCGTAGATGATTACACTGAGGCTGTTCATAATCATAAAACATAATGCAACGACCATACCAAAATGAACTTGAACCAAGAGCAACGCCTAAAATGTATCATGTGGCTGTGGGTCAAAATTAGACAAAAGCCCAAGCCAAGCAACTTCTCAAAGTCTTCGAAGTCCGGTCGCAGCTGGTTCACCGAGCGGATGGGCGTCAGGGTCATGCGGCCCTACCGCTGCCCGCTTCTTAAAGAGGCAGGGTACTGAGTAAGTGGGTAAGGGCAATAGCCATGGTTACAACCCACTTACCATGGTCATAAGTACCCGAAGGCCTACTAACCGTAAACCACTAAGTAAGTACTGACCACTCAAGTACCCTGCCCCTTCAAGTCGGCCGCTTTTTCGCGCTCCGGACCCATTTCAACAGGCTGGGCTTGGCGGCCAAACAATAGGCTGAAGTAGGGCCAAAGGCCAAACCGGGCCGCACCGAAGGGAAGTTCACACTGTCGCGCCTTCGGTTCAGTCCCGACAAGACAAGAGGCATAAGAGGCCTGTTTCTCGGCCCAGCCTGGAGAGGACCTAAAGGAAAGTTGGCCACGTTTTGGAAAGGAAGCCGACTTTCAGATTTGCCTTGGGTCAAAGGGTCGATCACTTTCAGTTGCATTCATCACCCCCGTAGGCGGACATGAGATTTAATTGGAAGATCATTTACTGGCCAATGACAATGTTTGAGGGGCTTCCTTCTTAGAATTCATGCCTGCTCGCCTATCCTTTTCGTGTCCAGCATTTTGGGGCAGGAATTTGCACCGACCTGTTTCGCATTCACCCAATGCCCAGTTGCCCAGCGAAGCAGGTAGAACAATCATTGGAACCCTCTTTGGGGGGCAATTCCATTCTAGTCCACCACACAAACAGTGAAACAGAGTGGAATCCACTGAACAAGTGTGTATTGCATTGCAGCCTGGGATTACACCCAATGGGACATCCTGAACAAATGGAGCATTCACCCAAATTTCAGAGTCATGACGCAAGTGTTTACCTCAGCTGCTTAAGTCCCCTGGACAAAAGCAAAAACCATATGTCCAGAAGGGATAGATTCCGATTCACACCAACAGGGCAAAAGAAAAGTTTGTTTTCACAAATGGAAGCTCCTTTTTTTTTGGCGGGCCCCGGGAGACTCCAGGCACCACACCACCGGCAACTGAGGTGCCGCCTGGCGGATGACGCCCACCGCGTAGCTGCAGTTGGGATTGGCCACCACCACGGAGTTCAGCGTGTGCCGCTGCTCGTACTTCTCGTGCATCACGTCCTCCTGGATATCTTCGCCGGAAAAAAAAAAACAACCGTGCGGACACTCGGTGGCTTAGTTCTGCGAAGCCCTGCTCAAAGTGAATAACTTCTAGTGGCTTAATACGGAAAACCCAAGTTAGTTGACAAAAAAAGTTAAAGTCCTAACATCCAAGCTACGTGCACCAAAGGGCTGTGTGGCCACGGAAAAAAAAAGGAAGCGTGGGCCTTTGCTTCCTGAGTGGGTGAGAAAAGGCAACCATGCTATTGTGGGTTTGAGACTGAGGAAGTGAGGCAAACCTTCTGGGAGAGGGGCGCCGGGGCCGTAGGTTTTCTTGAGGTTTGGTTCGGGGCTGGGGGGTTGGCCATAAAGTAGTTCGAACTTCCTGTTGGTTCCCATGATCCACGGATTTGTTGGGCCTCAAGCCGCTGAAAGGGTTGGGTTTGGGATGTGTCAATATGGGTATGTGCAAAAAGAGACTTCCACTCCCAAACTTAGTAGTGTCTTTTTGGCTTGCCTCTAAACCAGCACACAAAATGGGTGCCCTCAAAAACACCACCACACGCTTCTGGGCCTTTGGGGAAAGCACGGGGGAGGAGGTTCCGGTTGGGATCCTCGAATCGAATGATCACAGCTCCAATGGAACACTGGCTTTTGCTTGCCAACTTCCTGCAAAATATCCCAAACACCCAGCAAACACACTGATGACTTTCGCTAACTTCCGCTGGTGTCTCAGATCTGGATTCTTCTAGGGTTGCCAACTCAACCGAGCCCAGCACTCCTCGGCGTAGTGGTCATTCTGATGGAGCCGGTAGAGAAACCGAAGGCGCCTTGCGTCGTGCAGCAAAGCCCAGAAATCTCGGAAGCCCTTCCTGTGTCACAACCAGCCGGGAAACTACTAGCACCCCATGTTCGAAGCCCCAAGTACTGTCTAACAGGCGATCCCTGGAGGGTGCTAGCAAAGTTTCAGCCTTTTGGACCCTTAAAATGGCCGTCACAGGTTTCCGACCGAAAAAATGAGCACTCTCTCGCTTGGATTGAAATGAAAAGCCGGAACAAATACCAAAGCTCAAACCAACACACCTCTGTAGCGCCTTCAGGTCGGGAAACTGGGCTGGACACACTGGGACAAAAACTAAACATATTTGTGTGGTTGAAAGAGACAACAAGGCACCTCATACCGACATGTACCGGCTCAAACGTGAACAGTTTGAACTGCACTGGGTTTGATTTGTGATGTACAAATGGTTCATTGGTAACTTCACGGGGCAAGCAGTATGAATATATATATATATACACTGAACATATATATATAATATAACATACATATATATATATATATAGCAACCAAGTTGGATCTTTAAGGCCACCCTTCAAGAGGAAATATAACTTTGAGGAAACAAACACCACTGACATACTGGAGGCTTTCCTGATTTCCCTTTCTGTTCAGGCAATGCATGTGTGTCATGGTCAAGACCCTGTGCCAGTTCTGGTCATGACGAGCCCTGAAGGTTCGTGACAAGCCGTACCAACAGAAGTCAAGAAATCCATCTATTGACCACGGCTAATATGGGCGGGACGGGCGATGATTTCTTTTTTTGAGTATGCACGTGTTAGGTTGGCTTAATTGGACATGAACAGGAATTGTTGGGGGTTATGAAAGGACAATTCAAGGAACACCCACGTTTTTTTGTTTGGCGTCCCCCCCATTCTAACACATACCCGTCAGCACGGGGTGGCTCTATTCCGCATCCGCCTGCTCTTCGCCTTCAGTTCCACCCGCTCCAGCTGACCCTGGTCCCCGTATGGACGGTAGCTGGGCCGCAGCGGGTACTGCAGCACCTCGGTGTCGGAAACCCGAGGCCAAAAAGCTTCCTACCATCCATGCCCAAATGGACCCCCAGTTCGGGGGCTATGGGGGGGGCTATTGGATAAGCCCAAGATAAGCCATGAAGAAGCCATGGAGAAGCACTTCATAGGGAGTTTCGGGGTTCATATTGCAAGCAAGGGAAAAAGGAAACGCCTTCAACGAACTTTCTCATGGCAAGGGGAACAAGTAAGGCAAGAAGGCAGGGAACTTTAGCAAGGGAACAAGGAAACGCTGCGTATTGACGAACTGTATCATGGGTTTGAAGCTGACTATGGTTGGCTTACTTACAACAGGGCCACAAATTGTGGATGAAAGAGGCACCAAACAAGTTTGTAGTCCTGACTGCAACAACTAATTTACTGCTGGAGATGGAAGAAAAAGCTAATGTTCAACCAACCAACACTAATACAGAATTACAGTCAGTTCCTTCTAATCTTGTACCTAGGCCGTGCTCACAGAAATCGATCGCAGATCCAAACCCCACGATCAGGTCGATCGCTTGAATTGCATAGTGTGTGGAATTGTAGCCTGGGCAACTGTCGCTTGAACAATGAAGTGACCTGACAAGTGTCGAAACTCGCCTAGGAAGTGGTTAGTAAGCCTGGTTACCTACTTACCAGGGATATGAGTCTCCGTTCAGTGGGTGATAACCAGGCTTACTAACCACTTACCTGACGTACCGAATCGATCGCCGGGGCCCAAGGAAGGTCTCGCCAAGGCGCGTACATGTCCCCAACAAAGTCAGGGGGGTCGTACATTCGGTTCAGGTACCTCAGCGCATGGGACTTGCAGTCCCAAACGAATCCAAAAGCACCGCTCTTGCGGGTGCTAAAGTGGGGCTCGGGATAAAAGCAAACAAAGGACCCATCCCCTGTTATTTCCTTTTGGGTAAATGAAAAAACAACACTTGGCTGTTAAGCACCCAATTTGTAAAGGGCCCTGAGAGAACGAACACACTTATGAGTTGGTACAACCCGTTTGAAACAAAAGCACAACCCGGGACAAGCAAAGCTCCAACATAAAGTTGTGCTATCTTTCCTGGAAACTGGAAAATCCATCCATTTGCGTAACGTGTCACACCAAATAACGCAAATATTTGCCAGTCATGACACCCACTGGAAACCAGAGCAAACGAACAAATGCAAATTGAAACTAAAACTAGGTGGCTCCCCCGCAAGTTTGGGGACATGATTCGAAAGGTCAAAATGAGCAAGGGACCTTTTCAGCTGAGAATAACTTCTGCAAGAGACACTACTTCAATGAGTTCCTCAAAACTCATGACAACCAAGTAGGAAAAACAAATGGGAACCCCAGATTCATGTGCTTTTCGTGGACTGATTATTAGGGCAGCGTCCGCTTTTGAATCCTTTACTTTCGGAGGGCCCCCACCTTCTCAGATTCTCAATCAATAGATCGGGCAGATTCATCCGAGGGTTTCCATCGGTTGGCAGCATTCCCGGCCGGATGGGTTCAACTATTGCTGCAAAGATTTCGAGTCCGATCGGGGCTTGGGAGCAGACCCGGGACTCGGTTTTCGGCACCACGAGTTGTTTTTGGGGTGTCAAAACTGGGCTGCTCACATCTCCCGCTAAAAGTTTAACTTTTTGTGGGTCAAATGGAAACTGCCACTAAACACTAAAAAACTAAAAGGCTAAGCGGATGGCTGGGAGCCACCAAGAAAACAGGAAAGGGCATATTTTGAGGCCAAGTCCACTAGGACCCTCAGGGTTTTACGCAAAACTGGAAAGGGCATAGGCCAAGTCCACTAGGACCATTGGTTGACCAGTCAGACTTTGATCATTTTGGGTATCGAGATTGGGGCGATAGGTTCGCCCCAATCACGTGTCAACCTCATGTCACATTGTGGGGCGCCCTTCTGTTTGACAAGTCCTAGGGTCGTGTTGCTGGAACAAATCGCATTTACCAAAGGAGACCGCCCAACTCCCTTGGCCCTTGCCTCATGCGCCCCAAACCGTATCTCAGCCCGTTTGCTTCTCAAAACCCCAGCAGCTTCTCCTAGGTCCTCCAGTAGAGAGGTTAGAATAAGGGTACCAACTTTTCTCTGTGGCCGATTTTAGTAGGGGAACCCTCCCCCCAAAAAAAGGGGTGAGAAAGGGCACCTAGCTGGACCGAGGTTTCTGATCCATGCCAATACACCGCGGTGCTTTGAAAAGTATCCCTTTACCCAGGGATATTAAGGGCGGACAAAATTCATTTCGCACTACGCAAGAAAGCATGGCATGATGATTTCCCTGTAAATACCAACAAAGAATGGTTTCCCATGGTTTCAAACTGGTGCAGGATTTCGTCCATCCACAGTATTAAGGATGGAATCAAGGTCAGAATCCAAAACTTTTTGTGGGTGGTCTGAGCCCCACGTGGGTGTTTCTCAGAAAATATGGAGCTCCACACAAATGCTTGGTGTTCCTTGCTTCTTTTTCAAATTATTCGCAAACAGGGATTCCTATCTTAGGATGTGCTTTTATAAATGTGCTTAAAGGGAACCCCCATAATTTCTAGTTGGGCCCTATTTTGACGCGTACCCATGTTGGGGGTGCAGCTTGAGCCGCACGTCACACTCGTGCAGAAGTTCATCCTCCTCCTCGCCAGCTGCAGCTGCCATGTCCACATCTGCCTACCGGATTCCGGAAGTCGGAAGTCCCGAACCACCCCAACCCTTCAGCGGCCATTGGCAAACAAGGGGCACTCGGATGTCGCGGATGAGGTTTGATTGAGCCATTGGACATCATTCTCCAATAGGGAACAAGGAAACCGATTCGCGAATGCTACCGTCTTGTACCATGGTGTTTTGCGGAGTATGGTTGGTAATTGTTTAATCAAACAACCAGTTTATCAATAGGGGGGTGTCCCTGGCTGACATGTCTTCCTGCTGGAGTTGCTCTACAGCGGCGTCTTCGTGCTGGAGTTGCTCTACGGCGCCGTCTTCCTGCTAGGGTTGCTCTACAGCGGCGTCTTCGTGGGGTGGCGGGTGCGTGTGTGGGTGTGCGTGTGTGTGCGTGTGTTCTGCAAGCGCTCGCGCCTTTTTGCCGCGCAGGTGGGCGTTCTGCGGCTGCGGAGGATATCGCGCTGGCCGGAGCAGCTGCTGTGCCCCGGGCAGCGCTTCCAGCGGCTTCTTCCACCCCGGCTTGCACGCCGACTCGTGCTTTGCTGAAGACTAACTCTGAAGAAGACGAAGCGGAGTTGATCATTGATTTGCTCTTCCAAAAGCACTGCCTTTGAAAAGAACGATATCTGCAGCGAGAATGCGCTGCTCGGCAACACTAGGGGCGAGCGTTCAATTTCAACGTGCTTAAGCCTTGTGATGCCGAAATGTTGGATTTATGGAAACTCATTTAGTGAGGGGTAGATGATTTTTGCGTGCCCCAAATATTCAGGAATTGTCCCACGGTGCTCTATTGGCTGAAGACCTTTGTCCGCTACATGAAGGCCAAGGTGGAAGCAGGGGCCACCGGGTCCGAGATCGAGAAATTTCGGATTCACCCAAAGTATGTGGCAAACATGCTCTTGGAGAAGCCATTGCCCGAGAAGGAATTGAAACTTTTCGGCGAAGCGTTTGATGAGTTGCGTTCAGCATGCGCTGAGCTTTTTCCTGTGCAGGGATTGCCAGATGCTGTGGACGCTTTGCTTGTCGAAGCAAGAGTGTGTATGTGTGTGTTCTGCGTTTGTGTGCGTGAGCGTGGTTTTGAGCTTGTATGTTGCGGCAGGAACATCGATATAACATTCTCTTGGATAAGTGATAAGCGTTTATTGGATCTAAGGTTGCCATGTCCAAGTTTAAAAATGGACAAGCGGCCTTGGACATCGATTTCCTGCAGGTGGCTTCTAGGACCAGACTGGTGGAGTCTGCGCTTTACAGCGCCTTCATGAGGAACTTGTTTGACGGTCGCTCGGCGTTTCTTCGTGGACAACATGCTGCGGCACTTATGAATCGCCTTGCGGACATTGACAAGTTGCTGACACATCGTCCAGACCACACTGAGCTTCTCTTTGCCAAGACGATGTTTGGCTCTCTGGAACACGTCCAGGACCAGTTGAAGTTCTTGGCCGGAAATGCCGAAGAGCATTTTGCGTGGCTGAAGGAGAACTGACTTCCTTTCAGTTCCTATGTCAGTTTTTTTGTGTATAGTTTATTGCATTCTGTTGGATCTATCTGCGCAGGAGTGGTGTCCCAACCACAAGTGCTTGAACTTTATCCACTTTTTCGACACAAAAGGTGGGGCCAAAGATTTCGACCCCGACAAGGTCGTTGACGCCTATTCCAATCTCCTGCACTTCGAAGATCCTTCTGCCCTTCTCCCTGCGGGTTTCCTCAAAAACCTCTTCGGGCTCGTGGAGAAGCTGATGAAGGCAGCGGACATGGAGACGATGGGCTTTGGTTGGGGGTTGGCATTGGAGTGCTTGTATTTCAAAAAGGGATTGCTGCAGGCACCCAAGCTTGCTGTCTTCGACTCCAACACTTTGAAGCCAAAGATCTCAGAGGAGGTCCGCAAGATTACCATCAGGATGGCCGTTCCGAAGGTGGACCGAAGCAAGAACCCATGCCATGCCTTTGTCGACAACATTGCCGCAGAGCTCGCGCAGCGAGAGCCACAAAAGAAACCTGAGCCCGGGAACAGTGTGAAAGAAGGGCAGGGCAATTCTGTGCCTGCGAACGAAAAAGTAGAGGCGCCTTCTAGCGCGAAGTTCCAGGTGGGCCAGCAGGTTCGCACGAGGGCCAGCAAACGGAAAGACGATTACGACAACAAGCTTGCTGAGATCCAAGTGTTGAACACCAAGAAAGCTAGAGTGAAGCTTTTGGAAGGCCCTTGCCGCGGTGAAACTCGCGACTATGTGTATGACAAAATCGTGGCCATCCCAGCATCGGAGCCGAAGAGCGGCGCTCCAGAAAAAAAATCTGGGAGCATTGCTCAAGGGAGCAGCGGGCCAACCGCTGGACTAGAGACCGATCCAGTTCGAGAAAAACGGAGTGTGCCTTGCAGAAACTTGGCCACTAAATAGCGTTGATAGACGTTAATGCGCGCTAATCGACGCTAATAAGGCCCCTTCCAGCATGCAAAAAGCTTCCATATTTTAACATATAAGAGCCGAGTGTATAGAGCCAAGTGCGTAGAGCTAAATGTATAGAGCTAAGTATATAGAGCTAAGTACATAGGGCCAAATGCATAGCGCCGAGTGCACAGAGCCAAGTGCATAGAGCCGAGTGCGTAGAGCCGAGTGCATAGAGCCGAGTGCATAGAGCCAAGTGCATAGAGCCAAGCGCATAGCTTCGGCGTTAGCAGCTTTCTAGGGCGCCGGGGCAGGATTTTAATCGTCGATCGGGTTTGCGATGCGGGGATTGGCGCGGTCGAGGTGCAAAAACTCAAGGTTTTTTGCCATTTTTGCGGTGCCCGCGTGACCCTCTGCGGGGATTGACGTGGTCGAGGTGCAAAAACTCAAGGTTTTTCGCGGTTTCTTGATCTACTCGCGCGGCCCTCTGCGGGGATCGGCGTGGTCGAGGTGCAACCCTCTGCGGGCATCGGCGTGGTCGACTGCGTTTTTTGTTACTCGTGAAATGGTCTCTTAGTTTGCGCGCCTGCTTTCGCAATTCCGCCGTCGCGGGTTCGATTCCCCCCTGGTCCGCGGCAGCTCCAGATGGAAAATCGCAGCTTTTAAATATGAAAGTAGTGGGCGAAGTACACTTTCGCAGCTCCGGCTGGAAAATCGTAAC